TTAGACAAAATTTCCACACATTGTGGTTATTGCTCCATAAAATCTTTAGGAATACTAATATATGCGAGAATGAAATTTTCATGAGCACACTGTCTTGAGTGAGCACACTGTCTCCAGTATTTACACGAAAATAAAGTTCTCATGAATAAAAACTTAAGGTGATTTACTGTACATGTATATGAAAGGTGAAAATGACACTATAAGAGTTGGAAAAAAAACTTCAAGAGACTGTTACTCTTAATACTGATTTAAATCAAACTTCTCAGTTCTGGAGAGATGTCTTGTAAGACCTTGTAAAATCATGCTTTCTAAACAAGTCTTAAAAACACACAGCTATCCAGAAAGGCATGCAAATTATTGTCATAGAAGCCTAACTGGTGCTCTAAAGTCACCAACAGGACATCACCATCCCCTTAAATAAGACACATACTACAAAATAAACATGCCGCATATCTTCATAAATCTGGTAAATTTCAAACGCTAAAGTGTTTCCCTTCAGAAAAAAACATACCGAGTTCCTTTTTTCTGTCAGAATGCCCAAAACTGAGGGGAGAAATGAAGAAATATTTTGCTTGACCACATTTTGATGTAGACCTCGGTGAAATAATGTGTGACACCCGCATGATTTTAGAGATCACAACCATGCAGTGCCACAAAGGGCTGCTTGCTTTTCAAGCTCTGTAGACTGAGATAGAAGCACAGAGAAAATTTGGACTGGAATCTGCAGAATGATCATGTTCTAGTTCCAAGAATTCCACTAAAAAGCTTGAAAAAGCACCCCAAATTCCTTGCAAACAAAATGTCAAGATTTAGTTCTTAAATAGAATTAATTGTGTCTTTCATTTATTCTATACAAGGCCTTTCTAAAACACTCATTATACCAGGGCTAGAAACTCCCTAATAAACAACTCGTAATTATTGCAAGAACCAAACAAAAATTAGAGGTACTGTGAGCAGTAAGCTCAGAAATGATAACCCCAGTCCCATAGGAGTATAATGGCAAAGTCCATGTTTTGCTATGGGAAAGCCCAAATGTCTGACCAATCAAAACATAAAGAAGGAGGTGCACAATGGAATTATGTGATAAAGATTCTGTGAAAAGTATCATAAAACTTTATTGCACACTGTTTTGTGTTTTTATCCCCTCACTAAAGCTTGGGGATAAAAACACACAACTCGCTGGATAAAAATCATATCCAACAACAAACCATGGGAGATGATTCATATATTTTTTGGCACAAGCATCTGGATCGAGTTGTAAGTATACAATGGATGAAAAATCAGCAAAAAACAGTGTAGAAATCATATGCTTGGATAAAAAGAAATTATGAGAGCAAATTTACTCCACGAGGGATTCCAGTAAAATCGTGGACAAGTAGTGAACAAAAAATCAACACTGCTTTCTAAAATTTTCCCTATTCTTTAGTACATTTTTCTACAATATACATAGCAAATTTCAAAGAGCTATATATTTAAATAAACACTATAAATATGTCCATAGGACATGAATGCCCCGCCGAGGGTATATTAGGAATGCAACATTTTAACACAAATTGAGAAAAGTGAGGTCAAGGTCAAAGGAAAGGTCAAGGTGAAAAAAAATTGATGCAGTTGAATAGCCTACATCAGTATGTATCAGCATATGAAGTTTGACACTAATTTAAGAAAAGTGAGGTCAAGGTCAAAGGAAAGGTCAAGGTCAAAAGTTGCTGATGCAGTTGAAAAGGTTACATCAGTATGTATTAGCATATGAAGTTTGATAAAAATATTATGAATGGTTTCTTTAAAACTGAGCTAAACACTAATTTAAGAAAAGTGAGGTCAAGGTCAAAAAATGTAGATGCAGTTGAATAGCTCTCATCAGTATGTATCAGCATATGAAGTTAGATAACACTATCTTGAATGGTATCTTTAAAACTGAGTTGAACACTAATTTAAGAAAAGTGAGATCAAGGTCAAAAGAAAGGTCAACTTCAAAAAATGTTGATGCAGTTGAATAGCTTACATCAGGATGTATCAACATATGAAGTTTGATTACACTATCTTGAATGGTATCTTTAAAACTGAGCTAAACACTAATTTAAGAAAAGTGAGGTCAAGGTCAAAGGAAAGGTCAAGGTCAAAAAAATGTTGATGCAGTTGCATAGCTCTCATCAATATCTATCAGCATATGAAGTTTGATAAAAATATCTTGGATAGTTTCTTTGAAACTGAGCTTTGAACAGAGCTAAACGCAAAGTGTGACGGAAGGACAGACGGAAAGACAGAAGGACAGGACAGAAGACGGACATGACAAACACTATATGCCACGGCCATATTCATGGCGGGGCATAAAAATATGGGATTTTATGTTAATTGTAACGTGTGATATCGGCTTACATACGACACACGGATGATAACATCAAAGTGTCTGAATTGTGCTTCCAATGCATTTCACTTTCATGCAGCTTCCTCCATGATTAAATTTTCAGAGGTGAAGATCGAGCCCTGAGCTCATTTGAGCTTTTGGAAAATTGTGTATCTCAATGAAGTCTACTTCTGTTATGTGTAACAAATCCAATTGAAATCGGAACAAACTGTAGTCTAACAGGCCTATCAAAATCTGCCATACCCGGTACCTTTACACGGCTGAAATCATGACTGTACATGTATAACAAAATATACAATGGAGAAAAATTCAGTAAATATTTAATAAAAATTGCTTCCACAAGGTATCTACTATTTTTGTAAAAGTACCACCTGTTTCTAATCTGTTTGTATGCCCTGGTCTATGACATTTGTTGTGGTAGTCTTCGAAATCCATATTATATCCTACAGTTAACAGTTAAGGGCTCTCACACCACTTTTTGGGACTGAGGCCAGGGTCATAAAAATTGGGAAAATTACTGATCTTTTGGGGAATTTTTGGTAAATCATTATTAAATTATAATCATTGTAAATTGGGTGTGTGATGTTTGTTATCAACTAAATTTCTCTTTTTTCTGTATGGAAGAATATGATTAACAAGTTCAGTTTTTATGTCTAAAAATTTTGGGGCAAAATGACTATTGGGAAAATAACACATTCAATTAAAAAAAAAAGGGTACCTTTTTTGAACTGGGAATGAGGCCTATGAATAGCCCCAAATATTGAAAATTGAGAGCCCTGCAGTTAAAAGCAATCCAAAGATATTAACTTTCTTGGGTTTATGCATTTGTACATGTCTGAGCGGCAGGAGAAGCTTACTCCTCCAAGGCTCCTATTACCACCTCTGTTTTCAGAGATCATCCATGTTGGCTCTGCTCAAAATTTGTATTATGGACTTTTGAGAATGATCACAGTTCCTTATCTTCAAATTTCATGTATGTGTGTACTGTAATTGCATTTATAGAACTTGTATATATCAAAGAACTCAGCTGGGCTCAGGTATAAAACACTTTTGTCACACTGTCTAGCGAGTGTACCTGTGAACATAAGGGATCAAGGAAATGTCTGAGTATTTTTTACAGTCTTGTAGGCATCAAAAATTGACCTTTCATTCAAACATCTGCCTAAAAGATACTGAAATTTCTTTCTTGGAAGCTTGTCTAAAAAAAACTGAGATTTGTTACCCTACCCTGGGAATGATAAAGTTGGACACTTCGGAGAGTCAGCTTCGCTTTTGAATGGAAATGTTCAACATTCATTTTTAAACTAATCTAAATTAAAAAAATTTAGGAGGTCTTGGATCTTCTGCTCCATTTGGATGGATTACTGGATAATGGTGTGCAAGCCTATGAGCTGCCATCACAATAGCAGCATCTTCTAAGCTGGATTGAATTTGAGGTTTCAAGTTGATTACATGTGTACTTAGTACTGAACTTGATGACTTAATAGTAATTCAAATTTCTCTTAATAGTTCACAATTTGTTTCCACTTCCTTGATCAAAAACTGAATAAATAAATAAATTTCCAAACAACTAACCAATATTTAGAATATGCGGGCTTTTTAATCTCATGTAAAGGTAGAAAAGTTTTTTTCATAGCCACAATGATCATAAAAAAAAAAAACAACCCATTTCAGCTAGAATTTACTCTAAAATTAAACATATTTGGAAGTTAAAAAAAGCATTGCATAAAGACATTAAATGAAACCAACCTTATATTCCAAGAAAAAGACAAAGTCTTAAATGGCCCAGCATAAATTTGATCTAATGGTGACACACTACATTGTAACTCAACAGAAAAGGACCGATTCTGGAATTTTTCGGTTTTTGATAATATGTTACATATGTTGCTGCTTATTAGCATGAAAAATCACTATTTGGCTGCATTTAAAAATGAACTTTGAAATAATTTTAATAGAAATTTAGTTTAATTGAAATATATATAATTACCTTTGTACCTTACTTTAACCAAGATGTAATTATACTTAAATATAATACAATTACACTGAAAATATTTAACTTGCAAACCTTGTATCCTAACACAGATGCTGTAAGTAGCATATTTCTTGAAAAGTTTGAGAAAATACTCAGGCCTACAACTAAAATCTTACCCAATATTCTGACTCAACAGATTTTCATCACACAATAAAACATGTAGGAACCAATCCCTTTTAAACACGTTTAAATTCTTTCAACAGGTAATATGAGAAATAACTGTTTTGTATGAAAATTATAAGAACTGCTTAAATTGGAGAAAATCAATATTCATTTATAACTCGCAACCAACGGATGCTGAGTGCATTAAAAAAGGGGGGGGTGAAAATTGGTTAAGGACATGTCATCTCTTGTAAGCCTTTTTTCACGAAGTTCAATTTTTATCTTCACAAGGACAAAATATTGACCGTGTCAAACTCTTGGTAACAATGCTCAACCTTTACGCCTACGCGTCTTTGTTTTCGCGGAACTTTCGTAGATGTTTTCAGACGAAAACATCAACATGAAAAATGCCGATCAATAATTACATTTGACACATGGTAGCCAATAAAGTTGATGTCAACATGAAAATACTATTCATGATACACATGACCTCTTTACCTGCAATATTGAGTGAAATTACAGTCGGTACCTCGAAATTCGGCTTTCGGGATATCATGGAATGAAAGAAAATGGCAGCCTTTCACATTGATTTTTTACGTGACGTCATGGGAAGTCAATGCACTTCCGCCAGAGGAGAGGATCCAATAATTTGACTCGGGACAAAAATCAAGGCCCAATATTTGTTTTAGTACTCCTACCATGAAAGTTATACATTTCCATAATAATATTTACTTTTAAATGATAAAATTATAGTAACTTGAAATTTAACATACACCTTCAGGGACCTCTGCTCAGAAATACATGTAGTAGGTGTCTTAAGAAAGGCCTTCAGAAACACTAACGTATTTTTCGCCCCTGGATCGAAAGATCCCAGGGGTATATTGTTTTTGTCCTGTCTGTCTGTTTGTCTGTTTATTTGTCTGTCTGTTTTCAACTTTAACCTAGCCCATAACTATTGCGATGTCAAGGGTAAGGCTGGTGGGTTAATATTTGACATGAGTGTTCATTATGACAAGACCTTTCCTTGGGTACCACCATATATGACCTTTTGACCTTGACCTTGGAGTTTGACCCAGTTTGGCAAAATTTTACCAAACTTTAACCTTGGCCATAACTTTTGAACGGTTAATGCTAGAGCTTTCATATTTCACCTGTGTACATGTATTTCTTGGGAGAAGGCCTTTCCTTTGGCACCATTAATTTTGACAATTTGACCTTGACCTTGATGTTTGACATACTTTTGAAAAAAACTTTAACCTTTTCCATCTCTATTCAATGGTTGCTGCTAGGCCTTTCATATTTCACAGGTTTATTCCTCGAGACAAGACTCTACTTGGTGTATCAACATATTTGATTTGCATTTGAGAATGTTTGACCTTTGCTATAAGCTGCCATACGGGGGCATCAGTGTTTCACAAACACATCTTGTTTATTTTGTTTTTTGTTGTTCTATTTTTTTTTTTTTTCTATTTATTTATTTATTTTTTTTTTTTTTGACTTCGAGAGAAAATCATACATGTACCATATAAAAGATTTAAATGTACATACGGAGTTTATATAGTTTACATTCAACATGGGTACCTACCATATGAAGCATTGAATAGCCTGCATTTATTTAAAGGAGATGGGTGAACATGACGAGCGATAAGCCTATAGTGTGACAAACATGAAGATGAAAAATTAAATTTCAATTATATCAAAATTTTCCTTGATATTTCGTCTAACATTAAAATATACTTTATGTAAAATCTCTACAATTCGCAAAAATCCCTCAAAGATTGAAATTATTTGCTTGTGAAATATCAGACACACACCAAAGCGGGCAAAAAGAGTCATTTTCTCGTACTATAACACTGTTTTTCGATATGAGTGGGTCTTCGCTCCACCTTTTGGAAAGTTAATCCTCAAAGTTTGCATAAAAATATACATTTTTTGGTTACCAAAAATATGGAGCAATGACCCACTATACCTTAAAAATATACCTTTATGACATAACATCCTTATCTTTTCGAGAAATACTTGAAGTCCATTAAGTCAAGGCTCATATCACAAACATGATTTAAATGCCACTCTTCATCAGGACTTGTGTAGTCTAGTGGTTAGCGTGCTAGTCTCGAAAGAAAATGATACTCAGGATTTTTATTGCTAGGGTTCGAACCCCACGAATTTTTTTTAATGAAAGAATAAATTTTGCCGAGAAAATTTTCCTCAGAAAAGTTTTGTTTATCAAAATTTCATAAATTTCAATAATGAGAACTTTACTCTAAATACTAAATTCAGAAACTGAACATGATTTTTTTTATATATCTGAAGCTATAAGCTTTCTGCACGCTATGTTCGCCCATCTCCTTTAAGGTCAGACAATACGTTCCTCAAATATCTGTTATGTATATCTTCGTAAAGTATGAAAAATATTTAAAATTTTAATGACTTTCTGATTTCTAAACCAGTTTCTAATCGTATTTAAAAAATTCAAACACTAAAAAAAATGATATTGGCAAATTAAATTTTTTTCCAAAAGGATTATACAAGAAGAACTATCCACTGGTATCATGCACAAATGCCTGGTAATGTACCTCAATTTTTTGTGAGTAAACATGTTAAAGTAGCAATACTTTAATGACAAAATCTTAGAAAAAATTATATATTATTGAGGAACGTATCGTCTGTCCTTAAGTGAACAAGAATCACTCATGCAGTGTTGTTCAGTCAATATGTATTTACCCACTTTATTTTGGTCTATTATAATGTTAAGAATACTTTAATTCATTACAAACGGTGTAATAATTCAGTGTCAATTTACGTCTAAATGATAAATCTAATCACTCTAAAGGAACGGGAAAGGAGAAGAATGCGACGGACCAGAGCGGGATCCGAACCCTCTAGTCAGGTGTTCTACCAACTGAGCTATCTGGCCAACGGTGATCGAACCCCTCTAACGGCCACATTCCTCCCTTCTTAAAGCCCCCCCCCCCCCCCCGAAGACATCAACCCAGGCTCTTCCCGTCACACTACCATGAAATTAGAACTCTTCAGTGTGCAGTATTTAGAACTTCCTTAAACAGTCATAAAAGGCTTTATTAATTACCACCGATTTCTGTGATTTAAAAAGCTACAAATTGCTATTCCATTTTGCATGCATCCTCGTCAATAGCGAAATCATACAGTATTAATTTATTACAGATACTGTATATCGTGTGATAGTTAGGAGTCATTCATATTTCATGTATAGGTATCTCTACATGGTTGTAAAATAATCATTAGACTGAAGTACGTACACTTAACTAATGCTGTATCTAAAAGATGGTCCAGGCATGTAATACACTTTTTAAATTGTCGTTGTTGTTGTTGATGTTGCTTCTGCTGCTGCTAGAAAATTTACATTTCTCAGGGATTATTTCACTAAAGAAGTTTAAGACAATCCAGAGATACGCACACTGAAACAATTCATATGGAAAAAGGTTGATCTAATAAAATACAACGAACGGAACTGAGAATATATAATCTTACATTGTACTTGTAATCAAAGACAGCAAACAATTATTTTTTTAATTAAATTTTTAAAATTGGATTGATTTATATTGACCAGTGAATTAATATTTACTTACCTTAATTGGAAAGATCGAGACTTTCCCTGCGCAAGTATGAATAGCACAATTGTTAAAGCTTCAGCGAGTGGAGACAATAGTATCCTATTCAATTCTTAAATTCGTGCGAGGGTGTTTGTGGCATTTATAACTAGTGATAATATTATGCGTGCATGGACGCAAACTCACGTATGGTTGAGAATGGAATTGTTAGTCTGTCTTTATGATCCTTCTGTTTAAAATTCTATATTACCGTTGAAAAAAAAAATGAATCAAAAGAGAGTTTTATTTTTACAATATATAAAGTTATTTTTTTTTTCTTTTTGATAGGTAACCTATATAGGATGTACCATATCAAACGAATGTCTTAATAGGTTTTGGAGTACAGGACATCGGGAAACAGTGATGTTTCAATGTTACCCCCCCCCCCCCCCCGCCCCCGGTCCTGAATGTATGACATATAAATTTATTCAGAAAAAGAAATCTAACAAACTCTTCCAGTTTGCCTCTTAACCACTATAATAATGGTCACAATGCTAGAACTATGTAGACAAGCGGAAGAATACTAGTACATTGTCAATTCCCCGCCCTCAACACACACACACACACACACACACACACAGAGAGAGAGAGAGAGAGGTTCTACTATATTGAATGGTGCCTATCCCAGTTATAATTCTTTTTACAGAGAAACCCATTTGATGACAAAACCATTTCCACGGCAAAATCATATTTTCGTGGTAAAATGACGCGTAGTCGATTTTAGTTCCAGTGATTGACGACCGGAGCAGCTTATAGATAAAAAGAAGTGTCCACCCCCTCTGTATATTAGCCTGTTTGTTATTTATTTATTTGTTAATTTATTTATTTATTTTCTGCTCAAACTCCATCACGTTATGTCTGATTTCAAAGAAATATTGATACAAGTATAACCTTTAATTTCAATATAATATCTGAAGAACGGATGGACATTTTGCTAGCCTTCGTTTGTATAAAAACAAACTGCTTTGTCTAGAATGAATCAGTGATAAATACATTTAATTTCATATTCCAGAGTATTTGTTTGTAACATTTGTGTATATTGTAGTTTCATTAAAAAACAAATTACAGGCATATTTAAATACCTATATGATATATACTATGCTACAATGTGATGATTTTCATTTTCTCATTCGTTCTCATTTGTTGCCCAGAATATGCTTCTTTATATAACATGAAATAATCGGGGATGGAGGGAGGTACAAATCAACTCTAACAAATGTCAGACTCGAAAATTTTGTGGCAAGCATTTTAAAGAATTAAATTTAATTTAAAAGAAAAACAAGACGTGTTTGTAAAACACAAATGCTCACGTATGGCAGCTTATGGCGAAGGTTAAAGTTAATTCTCAAATGTAAGTCAAACTCCAAGGTCAAGGTCAAGAGATCAAAAGTATTGTTACCCAAAGAAAGGACGTGTCATTGAATATACCTGGTAAATATGAAAGTCCAAGCACCAACCATTCAAAAGTTATGGTCAAGGTTAATGTTTTCCAAAAGTGAATCAAATTCCAAGTTCAGGGTCAAAATTAATGGTATGCAGGGGAAGACCCTGTCATAAGAAATACACATGCAAAACATAACAGGCCCTAGCACTAACTGTTCAAAAGTTATGGCGAAGGTTAAAGTTTTTCAAAAGTAGGTCAAATTCCAAGGTCAAAAGGTCAAAATTGTTGGTATCCACTGGAAGGTCTTGTCACAAGGAATATACCTGTGAAATTTGAAAGCCCTAAAACTAACTGTTCAAAAGTTATAACCAAGGTTAATGTTTTTTAAAAGTGGGCCAAACTCTAGGGCCAAACTCTAAGGTCAAGGTCTAAAGGTCAAAAATATTTACGCCCATGGAAAGGTCCTGTCACAATGAATAAACATGTGAAATATGAAAGTTCTAGCACCAACTGTTCAAAAGTTATGGCCAAGGTCAATGTTGGGTAAATCTTTGCAAAAGTGGGTAAAATTCCAAGGCCAAGAGATCAAAATTAATGGTAAGCAGGGGAAGACCTTATCATAAGAAATACATATGCAAAATATAAAAGCCCTAGCATCAACTGTTCAAAAGTTATGACCCAAGGTAAAAGTTTTTCAAAAGTAGGTCAAACTCCAAGGTCAAGGTTCAAAAGTTATGGCCAAGGTTTAAGTTCTTAAAAGTGGGTCAAACTCACAGGCACTTTATTCGGTAATAATTTTTTTTAACCCATAGTATAATAATAACACAAGGTATCCAGCTCCGAATTACATGGAGTACCCCCCTCCCCCTCCCCAGAATCGCACTAATACAGATCGAGATTTTGATAATCGGGGATGGAGGGAGGTACAAATCAGATTTTGATTGTCTAAAAATCTGTTTCTAAAATATTGCATCGGAAAAATATCGCAGTGATTAAATGGAAAATGAGACGTAAACAAATTTTATTTATTCATGCACTGCAATATTTAAACACTGAAAATAAATTTTTAAACCCACTCATTTTTTTTGCACGTCAAAGAAAAAAAGAAAAACTTCTATTGAAGGTTAATCTTTCTCAAATGCAAATCAAATATGTTGATACCCAAAATATGGTCTTGTCCCGAGGAATATACCTGTGAAATATGAATTAAAGCCCTAGCAGCAACCATTGAATAGATATGGAAAAGGTTAACATTTTTCAAAAGTAAGTCAAATATCAAGGTCAAATGGTCAAAATTAAAGTTATGACCAAGGTTAAAGTTTTCCAAAAGTACGTCAAACTCCAAGGTCAAGGTCAATGGGCTATAATTGTTGATATCCAAAGGAAGGTCTTATCACAAGAAATACACATTTGAAATATGAAAGCCCTAGCACCAACGGTTCAAAAGTTATGACCAGGTTAAAGTTTTCCGAAAGTAGGTCAAACTCCAAGGTCAAGGTCAAAGGCCAAAGTTGTCGGTATTCCAAAGGAAGGTCTTGTCACATGAATTACACAAGTGAAGTATGAAAGCCCTAGCAACAACCGTTCAAAAGTTATGACCAAGGTTCAAGTTTTTTTCAAAAGTAGGCCCTATCACCAATTGTTCAAAAGTTAAAGCCAAGGTTAAAATTGGTTTAAGTTTTTGCAAAATTTGATCAAACTCCAAGGTCAAGGTCAAAAGGTTAAATATGATGGTACCCAAAGAAAAGTCTTGTCACAAGGTATAACGTTACACATGTGAAATATGCCATAGCTCCAACCGATCAAAAGTTATGAGCAATGTCAAAGTTTTTGCGGACAAACAGACAGACTGACAGACGGATAGACAGACGGACGGATAGGACAAAAACTATATACCCCCGAATCTTCGATTACGGGGGCATAAAAAAGGTTTGTATTATTTATTATTATCTATCCTTAAACGGAGCGCAGGGAGTACTATATTTACCATATCCAGCTCCAAGTCACAACTTCCGGTTACGTGTCATCGTCCATTTTATTTCCACGGTGGCTCTTACCACCCGGCAAATAAAGGAAGACACAGAAAGAATATGTTGACGAAGTTTGAAACCAAGTCTGCGAGAGTGAAAGGTAAGAAAAGCGGCAGAAATCACCTAAATCCAACTGCGTACAAGCAAATCTCTTACTTTATTGTTTAAGCGGAGAATCGGTGTTAACTCGAATGGCCTCAAAAATAAACCCAATCTGCTTGTTTGCAATTTATTCATGTTAAACCAACGTTTGTTCTCATTATGAATTTTAAAATACTTACTTCTTGTGTTCTTTCAGATTCAGACGTTTTTAATTATTCACCTCTAATAAACTTAGTTAATCGGAAGAGATTGTTATTTCAGAATATTTAGGTTTTGGTGTTACATTTATCCAGTAAAACATATTGTTATACCCCTTCTATAAACAGTCCCTTTGTAATTTCTTACTTTAAAAAGTCCAACGGTTCGACTGTTTTCCCCAACTGTCGGTCCAGGAACTGTTAAAATAGACTGTTAAAAAAAACTGTTGCCTGTTAAAAAAGACTGTTGCCCGCTGACGTCAAATGGCGCTAAATTGAGTTATCTTTTCCTCATTCAGCAAACCCCGGCTGATTCGGGTAACCGTGAGTTAAATGTAATCAGCCGAGGAGTTCCGAGTAATTTAAACCTGTCGTTAAGAATATAAACAGAAATGGCCAATGTTCGTTTTGCTGCGGCGAACGTGGATGAAATCCTGGCGATACTTTAAAGTAGGGACAGTAAAAATATGAAAAATGTTTATTAATAAAATACACATAAAGTCTCTCTCTCCCAAAACAGTTTAAATTTATGAATTTGATTGAGTAGGAGTATAACAAAACAGTTGTTGACAGGGTTCTCTGGAAACAGTTGATCTGTTGGACCGGAGTGCAAGCTGTTGCCCGCGGCCTACGGCCTTAGTCAACAGCTTGCACTCCAGTCCAACAGATCGACTGTCTCCTTCTACCCCAGTCAACAACTGTATACTGTTAATAGGACATTCTTTTGTTTCATTGCAGGACTCTCGTTCCACCCCAAGCGACCATGGGTGTTGACAAGTCTGTTCAATGGGGTGATTCAGCTATGGGACTACAGAATGTGTACACTAATAGACAAATTCGACGAACATGATGGTAATTATGAACACTAGTCAACAGAAATTTATAGATTGTCTCCATTACAAGGAAGTGAAATTTTGTTCTTAAACAGTCAGTGATAAAACTAATCAACTCTAACACAAATAAATTCGTTTTTTTATGACGCATGTCAGTAATAAGATTGACACTGTGTTGTAGGTCCGGTGAGGGGTATATGTTTTCACACGCAGCAGCCATTGTTTGTTTCTGGAGGAGATGATTACAAAATCAAGGTTTGTGAAAATAAATGTTATTGAAAACATAAAATATTTCTTATATATTTTAGTTGCACAGTTAGCTGACTCTATTGAAAGGCTAAAAAGAGAGTTTTAGTTTGTTTTAAGCACTTGATTGTAGACACATATTTACTAGTTTGAGGATTCTCTGAAATAAGTAAAATTTTCCTAAATAAGTTGAATAAGGATTGAATGATATTTTAGTTTGATTTCTTTAATATGTCAGTTGTTTATTTTCTTCCTTTGTCATATGACAGGTGTGGAACTACAAACAGAGGAGATGTCTGTTTACCTTACTGGGGCACCAGGACTATATCAGAACCACTTACTTTCACCATGTAAGAATTTTGAGTCTTGGAAAAAAAAAGAAAATTGTAATACTACAGTTAAGGATCATTTTTAACTATTCATCAATGGTTTTATTTTATTCAGGAGTACCCTTGGATTCTGAGTTCATCAGATGACCAAACAATACGAGTCTGGAACTGGCAGTCAAGGAATTGTGTTAGGTATGGGGGAATGAGGAAACATTTCATTAAAGCATGTAATGTCACATGTATAGTGTGCACTCTTTTTCGGCAGCTGTTGACTCCAAAAGAGTATATGTGTGTTTGCACTATACATAGGACAAAAAAGATGCCCTTTTGCCATTGGTCAAACTTTGCTTAAACATCTGACTTCGATCATGGCAATGTAGTTAAAGTTTACCATACTTCAAGTAATTCATATTTTAAGAATGTTTCAATCAGTAAGATGGGAACACTAAAACCTTTTCATTGTTTCATTAAATGCAATAACTACTGGTATCAATAAGGACATAAGGATAATGTTTTCAAAGTAAAACTGTCAAAAAGTGTGGCTTACACTCAATACAGGAGTGTGCACTATACAGGCAAGATTATGGCATTCCAGATTTGTATTATATGATCTTTATACTCATATTCTTTAGATGGTGCCATTAATTTATTTTTTAACAGCGTATTGGCAGGACACAGTCATTTTGTAATGTGTGCCCAGTTCCACCCCTCAGAGGACCTCATTGTGTCTGCCTCCCTTGATCAGACAGTCAGGGTCTGGGATATCTCAGGTTTGTTTATAAGCCCTATTTTTATAACAGGATTAATTTGTGAATATGTAATGAACTGACTTTATAGTAATTGTTAATGAAACTTCTAATGCCTTGACTATATATTTTGAAGAAAGCAATTATTGATTGTTTTGCAAATGATAAAAAAAATATAGGTTATAAGAATTGTCTGTGTGATTTGCTGAGTGGCTTATTTTTTCCTCTTGTTTATATCAGAAATGGGAATTTTTCTGTAATAAAGTATATCTTAACATCAGGTTTTTCACTTTCTCACAAGTTTATTAATTTCTTGCTCTTTTTTTTTTTAATCGTACACATGCATATAATATATTTTTGCTGATGAACTATTATTAATGCACTCTGATTTCTACTTGCCTCACTTAGACTTCTGAACATATTTATTCAATGATATTCAATTTATTCAACAAACTAACACCTTGATTAAAAAGATGAGTATTAATTGGATACACATTTAAATGTATTTTAAAATTCTCCATATTTGTAATCAGTCTGAAAGAAAGTGCTTTGTGAATCAAATAAGAATTAAGCCTTTTTTAATTAGAATTTTACTATTTAAATACTACATGTATATAATCTAAAAAGTTTTACAGTTAAAAGAAATACTTGTAGTTTTTTAAAAAAGAATTTTAATGGATAGAATGAATTATAAGCAAGGTTAAGAAAGTTTTTATTTTCACAGGTTAAAAGGATATTTTTTTACTACTTGCATAAGATGACCACTTCTGTGTTAGTACCAACTCTGTAGTAGAGATATGATTCTGGCTTGACATGCCTGGTGATGGGTTTACAGAGTGATTTCTTTTCTTTTTGCTTATTCTTGCTGTGCTACTTTTCCCTTACCTATAGCCATCAGCAACTCATATAAATCTTCAACAGGACTGAGAAAGAAGAATGTTTCTCCCGGCCCTGGGGGTATAGAGGACCGCATTAAGAGCTCTGGACAGACGGATCTGTTTGGGGTGTCTGACACCGTGGTCAAGCATGTTCTGGAGGGACATGACAGAGGGGTAAACTGGGCCTCCTTCCATCCAACCCTCCCCCTAATCGTCTCTGGTGCTGATGATCGTCAAGTCAAGCTGTGGAGAATGAATGGTAGGAAACTGAAAATTTTATAATACAGAGGTATTCTATCAACATTGCAACTCTTGCTTTCAGTGAGTATGTACATGTATAAGACTCTTATTCATGGTATGTAGTGAGAAATATGACATAAAGGTATATGATCTTATTGAGGAGTGAGAGCACATTTTCTGTTACCGTGGTCACTAAGATTTGTTGTTTTTTTCACAGATTCCAAGGCCTGGGAAGTAGACACCTGTCGTGGTCACTATAACAATGTTTCTTGTTGTCTTTTCCATCCCCGACAGGAGCTTATCCTCAGTAACTCGGAGGACAAGAGTATCAGGGTCTGGGATATGAGCAAAAGGTAAGGCTGGAAATATCAATTAACAGAAAAGGCAGGGTTCTACATGTGTGTGAAAATATGTCGCATGTAAATAAAGAAGAGAAAAGGTGGCTTTATAGAAGGGATGATGATTTTTTTTTGTTTTATCAGTTATGAGATTTCATACATTAGTTGTAGAAAATTTTGTTAACAGTTTTATACAGTCAGAAGGTCAAGTCTTATGAATTAATACAATTTTCTTTATATCTTTGTGAATAAAAAGTGATAAAAGAATTTAAGATTAAGTGGAATGTTCTTTGAGGACTGGTGTTCAGACATTCAGAAGGGAACATGACAGATTCTGGGTCATGGCTGCCCATCCTACTCTGAACATGTTTGCTGCTGGCCATGACAGCGGGATGATTGTATTTAAACTGGAACGAGAACGCCCTGCATACGCTGTTCACAACAATGTACTGTACTACGTGAAGGATAGATATCTAAGAAGGCTGGATTTCTCCACCTCAAAGGACAACCCCCTCATTCAGCTCAGAGGGTAAGGAAGTCCAGAGACAGTTAACTAGTGACATTCTTTAATGGAGACTAAAGTTAACATTGGTTTTGTTTGTAACTTTTTTTATTGTAAAGATTTTTATGAATTTAGAGAGGATTTATCTTCCTTATTTGTCATTTTGTTGATTTAAAGAGCTTATCATTATATGATTATCTTTGATTGTATCATTTTATGTATGTTGTTTGAAATTTAGAAGGCCCCGGGGAAGAATAGAGGCCTTGTACTAATCGGAATAACCTCTCAAAATAAAGCATTATTATTCAATGGTTGTTTCTTTCTTATCATTTTAGAGGCAGTAGGAACCCTGTGTTCAGCATGTCCTATAATCCAGCAGAGAATGCCGTTCTACTATGTACTGTAAGTAAATCACTTCATGAAAAACAAAGGAAAACAGAGATTAACATACTGTATTGTCTTAAGGAAAACTGGAATAGTTAATAAATTGACTGACATGTTTTACAGAGGGCCAGCAATGCTGAAAATTCTACCTATGACTTGTATGCCCTGCCAAAATCATCAGACTCGCAAAACCCAGATGGTAAGGACATATACATTGTATAATGAAGCAATTTATATCTACACTGTGTGTTTCAGAAAACGCATGCAACATATTAAAAACGTGACCAGTGAAATATGTATTGTCTTTTGAATTCAGCACCTGAAGGAAAGAGATCCTCTGGACTATCTGCTGTCTGGGTTGCCCGCAACAGGTTTGCTGTTCTGGATAGAACCCATAATGTAAGTCTAATGCATACCTGTGGAAATGTGATTTTAGAAAGGAAGTGTTGTGATGTGAAAAAGGCTAGTTGAATCTTTCTATGATTTAATTGTTATTTTGGTAGATTGTGATCAAGAATCTGAAGAATGAAATCACCAAGAAAGTCCAGGCCCCCAACTGTGACGACATTTTCTACGCCGGTACTGGTTGTCTGCTCTTGAGAGATGCTGATGCCGTGACATTGTTTGATGTACAGCAGAAAAGGTGAGTTACATTGACACTTGATTCCGGTAAGGTGTGTGTTTACATGTATCTTGCATTCAGGGTGTGTTTCATTGTTTAAACTGTTTTCTGTAGGTCCCTTGCATCAGTGAAAATTTCTAAAGTGAAGTTTGTGATCTGGTCCTCAGATATGTCACATGTTGCCATCATCAGCAAGCATGGTATGTACTTTGTACAAATTTTATCAAATTTACTTAATTAAGAATTAATCTGTAAATCTGAACACTTAAAATTAGAATGAATACCATTCAGTGTTACTGTGTGTTAGCTTCAGAGATCTTGCATTTCTGTCCCAACCAAATTATCAAAACGAATTCACACTTCTTGAACCAAAAAAGAAGCTAAAATGATGATTGTTTTAATAAGATATGATTTAATTCATTGGATTTATGCTCTACTTTTACAGTGATCACAATTTGTAACAGGAAGTTGGAGAGTCTGTGTACGATCCAGGAGAGCATTAAACTGAAGAGTGGGGCATGGGATGAGTCTGGTGTGTTTGTTTACACCACCAGTAATCACATCAAATATGCTCTTACTAATGGGTAGGTACTAGACACTAGTAATATCCCCCTCCCCCTCCCAAAGTCTTGTGTTTGTGTACACCACCAGTAGTAATCACATCAAATATGCCCTTACTAATGGGTAGGTACTAGACACTAGTGATCACATCAAATATGCCCTTACTAATGGGTAGGTACTAGACACTAGTGATCACATCAAATATGCCCTTACTAATGGGTAGGTACTAGACACTAGTGATCACATCAAATATGCCCTTACTTATTGGTAGGTACTAGACACTAGTGATCACATCAAATATGCCCTTACTAATGGATAGGTACTAGACACTAGTGATCACATCAAATATGCCCTTACTAATGGGTAGGTACTAGACACTAGTGATATTGCCATCCCCAACAGTTAAAGGGACATTGATTTTAGCCTCATTGTCTGTGTATTGATTGTGTCTCGGCTCTAAAAAGCTGACATAAGATTGAAATGAAACCATACTTTGTTGTTATCTATGACTAAAATGCATGGTGGTTTTGAGGAGAGGTCAAACCTTTAAAATTATTTTACTGAGATGTTGAAGCTTTGTGTAGCTTTTAACTTTGTTACCATTGATTAATTTAAATTGGGATGTGTAGAGAAAATCATTGATATTAACCAGAGTATGATACAAGTAGTCTAATATAAAATTGATTAATTTCAGTGACCATGGTATTATCCGTACCCTGGACCTCCCCATCTACATCACCAGGATTAAGGGGAACAGTGTATTCTGTTTGGACCGTGAGGTCAGACCCAGGGTCCTGTCCATTGACCCCACAGAGTTCAAATTCAAATTGGCTCTTGTCAACAGAAAGTATGAAGAGGTCAGTGGTGCTGGTGCATTTATCATTTCGTTGGATGTATTAGTCAATTGTTTGTAAAGAAATGAAATTGTTGAAATTGTCACTTCAGGGTAAAACCTTAATTTGTTTTTGATTGGACGATGAGATAAGTGATATTGTAAATTGTAGGTTTTACACATGGTGAGGAATGCTAAGTTGGTTGGACAGTCTATCATTGCATACCTACAGAAGAAAGGCTACCCTGAAGTGGCGTTACACTTCGTCAAGGATGAGAAAACTCGATTTGGTCTTGCTCTGGAATGTGGAAACATTGAGGTAAATTTTTCTAAGAAAAAAAGATGGCATTAAACAAACAAAAATTGAATTAGTAATTTTACTCCTTGCAATGAAGTTGTATGTATGGTGGTGGTGGTGGTGGGGAGGGGGGGTGTATACTGGAATCTCCTTGTTCTGTTCATTTGTCTATAGTACAAGTAAGGATAAACACAGCCTTTAGATCACTTATCACTTATCATAAGGAGTATCCAAAGCAAGCTTGCAGATGTGGTGCATCTCTGGAGAAGGAGATGCATATATAACTCTGTACATCTATTTCTGTTTTTGTTTTGTTTTGCTATGGTTTCTAAAATTGGGATTTTTTTCCTGTTGAATTAAATTACTGATTCTCCTACACTTTTGTTTAAGCTTGAATTAAACATAGTACAAGCATAGAAAAAAAAAACACCACATAATCAAATGTAAATAATGGTAAGATAGAAGACTATGTACAACTGAAAAAAAATATGAATTCAAAACAGTAGAGATACAGTCTCATCAGAGACTTTAGCTAGGATTATGACTTGAAACTGGAGAATAAATAATGATTACCATGTCAGATTCAATACTGACTTGCTATTTATAGATTGCCCTGGAGGCAGTCCAAGCTCTGGATGGTTATGATGTAATGCTAACATTATAGATTGCCTTGGAGGCAGTTCGAGCCTTGGATCATCATGATTTTATACCAACTTTCTATTTATAGATTGCCCTTGAGGCAGCCCGAGCCCTAGATGACCAGGCCTGCTGGGAGAAGCTTGGTGAGGCGGCGCTGTTACAGGGGAACCACCAGGTGGTGGAGATGGCTTATCAGAGAACCAAAAACTTTGACAAACTCTCCTTCCTTTATCTCATCACAGGAAACCTGGAAAAACTCCGAAAAATGATGAAAATTGGTGAGAAAAACCAGGCATTTTGTCATGAAATCATTGAATTTTGAATGTGTTTGATTTTGTTCTCCAAGAAAAGTATTTGAATGGCAAGCTTTGTTTTTGCAGCTGAAATAAGAAAGGACACCAGTGGTCATTTCCAGAATGCCTTGTTCTTGGGAGATACAGGGGAGAGAGTCAAAATTCTCAAGGGAGTCGGACAAAGTTAGTTTCTCTTTTTGTTGTGATTTTAAAAATGGAATTTTTATTCTGTAGTCCTCAATGAAAATTAAGTTTCAGTGGTTTTGGACTGTGAAAATAATACAATTAAGTATAAATAAAAGGAGTAGCTACTTCTTTTTTTTATTCTCTGTAGAGTCTTTGGCGTATCTGACAGCGGCCACTCATGGAATGGAGGAGGAGGCAGAACAACTGAAGGAGAGCTTTGGGGAAGAAGAGAAGATCCCTGATCTCTACCCCCAGGCCCAGCTCCTACAACCACCTGTTCCCATCATGCAGCAAGAGAGTAACTGGCCACTACTGACCATGACCAAGGGCTTCTTTGAGGGAGCCATGGCTGCTGGAGCTGGTGGAGGTAAAGACAAAAAAAATCTCAAAAGCTGGAGAAAATTTTCATTATTCTCAATAATTATCAGCCCTTTTTAATATACTGTCCAAGATGAAATGTGGAAAATAAACAGCTGGGGCTTCATATATTAACACATACTGTAATTCATTATGAGATATTGAACTTTGCATCTTAGTTACACAATAAGGAAAGAATTAGCAGATGGGAAATGAAAACCAATTTTGTTTTATAGTTTGCCATTCATAACCTGAATCTTTTTCTGTAGACTCTGCTTTAAAGTTTATATGAAAATTTGTGTTGTATCTTTAGGTAAGCGTACGGGTCTGGCTGCAGCAGCTGTAGACATTGAGGAAGGGGCTGGAGAAGGCTGGGGAGACGATGCAGATCTTGTCCTGGATGAGGGTAAGTTCACACACACTGTAATTCTGAACACACTTGATAATGTTTACACCAACTTGAAATACACTGACTTCAAGATAAAGGTTGGGAATGCAAACTTTGTAACAACGAGTTATTGTTTTGTGACGTGTAAAGACTGGGAATGCAGACTTTGTAACAATGATTTATTGTTTTATGACGTGTTACAGAGGGAGGATTTGGTGGAGAGGGACTGGATGATGAGGCTCTGGTGGGAGCAACAGAAGAGGGAGGAGGATGGGATGTTGGGGATGATGACCTTGAACTTCCTCCTGACCTTGATGTGGGTCCAGCAGCTGCAGGGGGTGGTGAGGAGGGATTTTTTGTTCCTCCAACTAAAGGAACAAGTCAGACTCAGGTACACAGAAGTTTTTGAAGATTTTTTGTTATTCTTTGATGATCAGTGTGTTTGTGGACTTTGTAGACAGAGATCAAGTTAAGTACAGGCTAGTACAGTCAAAACCTTTTTTTTCCAGGTGTGGTGCAATAACTCTCAGTTACCTGTGGACCATGTACTGGCTGGTTCCTTTGAGACAGCCATGCGTTTGTTACATGATCAGGTGGGCGTGGTCCAGTTTGACACATACAAACAGCTGTTCTTACAGACATTTGCCAGATCTAGGACCTGTTACCAGGGACTCCCATCCCAACCCCCATTGTTTGGACACCCACATAGAAACTGGTATGTACATATTACTCAGAGAAAGAGTATTCCATATGTTCAGTAAAAGTAGAGTAATAAAGTATGAGATAACATTAGTAATACATGTGATATCCCGTTTCACAGATACATGTATATCCATTCTCAAATAGAGAAACATGAAATGTTATGTAAATTCTATTGAGCTTAATTTCTATCCAGATAAATATCCATTCTCAAATAGACAAACATGAAGTGTTATGTAAAGAAAATACTTGCAAGCACAATTTCTGTGCAAATAACCAAAGTTGTTTGAGATGGAATTTTACTGTACATTGTCTGTATACATTTTTTTTGTGTTTCCTTCTCTTCCATGTATACATGTAGATATAAAAAGAGAACTTGTTCTAAACTGATATATTTATCTTGTACAGGAAGGAAGCTGGAGCCCGGGCAGGTGTGCCGGCCGTAGGAATGAAACTGAACACCCTAGTCCAGCAGCTACAGGTGGCGTATCAAATGACCACCACCGGAAAATTTGGTGACGCCATCGACAAGTTCCGCAGCATTTTACTCAGTGTGCCATTACTGGTGGTGGAGAACAAACAAGAAATCTCAGAGGTCAGTGAGAGCAGATCTGTTATTCTTTTTCATTGCATTTGAGCAAAGATGTAAGCTAAGCAATGGCATTGAAATAATTGTAAAAGAATTTATCATATGTAATGTAGGTGATTAATACATATAGTGATTGAATTTGGTTGTGTTGACTTCTAGGCCCAGCAGTTAGTGGAGATTTGTAGAGAGTACATAGTGGGGTTGTCCATGGAACAAAACAGAAAGGAACTCCCTAAAGCCACACTGGATGACCAGAAAAGAATTTGTGAGGTTGGTGATGATTTAAGTACTGTATACAACTTCATATTGTGTCATTGAACTTTTGATGTACATGGTCTATTTTGCTGTTTTACAGATGGCAGCCTATTTCACCCACTGTAATCTTCAGCCCATACACATGATCCTAACACTAAGGACTGCATTAAATCTCTTCTTTAAACTCAAAAACTATAAAACAGCTGCTTCATTTGCCAGGAGACTACTAGAGTTAGGACCTAAACCAGATGTAGCAACACAGGTTTGTAGACTTTATTTTATATCAACTCAGTTTTTTTTACTATTTCTGAGGGGAACAAGTTTATGAGTTGTAAACAAATTTTTATTTCAAGTAGTGTGTTAATTTTCGTCACTTCAAGCTTGTGCTTATTTCACTTATTTAGCAGCTTGAAAATCTCTTGCAGTACTTCTTTCATGTTGAAGCCTTGTTACTTTTGATTTGAGCTAGATAATAATTTCTATTTAAATCTTTATGCTCATTTTATGTAGACTAGAAAGATTTTGTCTGCCTGTGAGAAAAATCCTACTGATGCCCATGAATTGAAGTATGACCAACACAATCCATTTGACATCTGTGCCGCTTCATACATTCCCATATACAGGTATGTATTAATGGCTAAATCGGGATTGATTTATCTGGAATGATTTCCTGACAGATTAAATACTGTATCTTAAATGCATTATCAATGCAAAAATACATCTAAAGAATATCTTTAGTAACAAAATGTTGCATCAATATGATTTTTTTTTTCCACAGAGGAAAACCTGTAGTTAAATGTCCACTAAGTGGGGCATGTTATTTACCCGAGTTCAAAGGTCAAGTCTGCAGAGTAACACAGGTAACTAAGATTTTAGTCATTTAACATTTTATAATAAACCAGATAAACATGTTCACATTTACTATGATTCTATGTTAACAGTTTTTAAGCCAGGTGAATTTTTACTGATACAAGATTTTCTTTGATCAATAGTATTCTTCATTTTTTCAGGTGACTGAAATAGGAAAGGACTGCATTGGATTACGAATCAGTCCCATACAGTTCAGGTGAATTGTGAAGTAGAGGACATTGTGAATGGATGTGAAGGATATGTGAAGAGTCATTAGGTGTAATGTGATTCATGACAATTATAACAGAAAGACAGAATATACATGTGTAATACTGCAGTGAAAACAAGATGCCTCTTGTTTCAGGAGAAATACATATTAAATTTTCTCTTGTTATGGTATAATTGCAACTGTTGTGATATTTGTGTATATTTAATTAGTATATTAAATTAATTCAAACCTTGATATATTGTTTATGATTGTATTTGCATACATGTGAATGTGCTTAACAGTGTGATGATATAAAGTTATTACATGTACATGTATGTACATGTTCCTGTCAGATTCCTTTATGTGACTAGGGTAATATTACATTTAGCTGAAAAGCTTGTGGACTACCTAGTCCTGGATTGATTTTGACCAAACACAAGACATTTTTCTGGGAGAAATAAGTACATGGAGGATCCCCCCCCCCCCCCCCCCCACATGTCTGTATGGATAACCACACCCTTTCCCACACACTTGACCTCAATCCAGAAATGAATTCGGGTTGATCTGGTAAGATGCAAGTGTGAATCCACTGCTCTGGACCAGACCTATCTTTGACGATTTTATTTTGTTTATGTCCCAAATAAAACTTCACTTTTGAATTAAAATAATTTATTACTCCTGAAGCAACAGAGCAGTACTTAGAGTACTGGAAAAATATAAATAAAATCACCTGGTATTGCACATCAATGGCAAAATGAGCAAACGTAACATTTGAAGCAGGTTTATGCTGAATACCCAAGTTACTAAATATCCATAAATAAAAGATCTTGGTTAAACGATCACAGCATCACATACACAAAGAATTCCCTACAAATAACATTGGTCTCTGAATGACAGATATGAGTCCATAACTTTCAACTAGAAATTTCTGGTAAAATATACATTTTTGTGAGAGAATATTTGAGTTTCCCTTTCCTTGGAGAGAATCTTCTGAAGAACAGTTCCAGAGTTAATTAATCAGTGATCAAGTGATTTTCAACAAAAGTGTACTGATTAAGTGTTAAACATAAAATACCTGTAACAAGAAACCATAACAACTATAATTTATATAACAGTGTGTTTAAAATATAAACAAACATCTCTCACAATCATTAAATCAAAACAAAAACCATTATTAGATAACCTTACAATTGTTTTCTCCAGGCAACAACACCCTAAATATTTTCATTTTTATATTTAATATGTAAAGCCTATGATCTAAATACAACGTATATGCCCATATACATGTATATATGCATGTAACATCTTAAAATGAATTTAGCCTTGTGAACAAAACGGCACAAATTTCTCAAAATATGAGGTTTAGAATAATAGATAACAGTTGCTAAAACTTTGTTTTAGATTTTAAACAAAAACATTCTTCATATTTTAATTAAAATTCCTTTATTATATGATCTGTTGAAAATCTTCATATCGTAAAAAACTATGCAACATGAAAACTGTAAAAACGTCTCCTATATATATACCAAAACACCAAATGACTTTCATAGTTATAACCACCTTTTTGAAATGAAACCATTAATTGACCTACTAAAACATTTGAGATCCAGCAAGACATGGAATGTTTTTCATTGTATTCATAATTTAAATTGAAGTACATGTATTGTAAGAACATTAATGAGTATATCTGTAAAAAAAAATAAATAAGCTACTTTACATATAACAATACTGATATATTGGGTCTTGCACACTAAACTTTCACACTTAACACTGATCAGGCAATATTATTGCTCTGTTCTGTCAAGTATGATATAGAAGATTTTACATGAAATGAAAACCCCTTTGCATGATCCTTTTCTTGAGTAAATTAAACTGAGCCACAAAAGCACTTTTGATTTCGGGGTGTATCACAAAGTTGTATTTGGGAGATTCTGCCTTCCTGCTGACTGGTGAAGTCGAGGAATCTGATTGGCTGTCATCCAATGGGGGCGTGTCTGGAGGAGATACCTGGACGTATCCACTGGTGCCATCAATAAACGCTTCTACTCGATCCTTACTGCCACCAACAGGCTAAAAACACAAATATATTATTAACATCAGTAAAACGAAATTAGCTTCATTTCTTGTTTTCTGAAGTATTCTAACTATTCAGTTATCAATAGATGCAACACAATCACAGTTATAATTCAGAAATTTATTACAAAACATTTGTGTCCTACACTCTTCATTCATTCTGGTAATAAATAGTGCTGTACTAAATATGATCATTAGATGTTTAAAAATTATACAATCTCATGAATTTCATTGCATTAACTAAAGTTTGTGTTCAGTAAATGTGTACCATAAGAAAATAATGATGGCAAAGCGCTTAAGTGAACAGGAAACCTTCTCACCTGATCTGATGTATGGAGTTGCATGGAATCCTTCCACAGAATGGTAAGGAACTGCTCATTGGTGGTTTTATTACATATATCTATTTCAGCCAATGAAAATGCCTGTTGCTGGGAATCATCCTCTAGGTTTATTATGATGAGCAGATCTCTTGTGAGCAAGAGATGAACTCTGACCTCTGAATCTGTGATGTCAATGAGGTCTGCTTCAACCAATGACCACAGCTGGGCATTAGGCAAGGAGTTCAGGAATTTTCTGCACAAATTCAGTTTTGAAATTAAAACATAAATGTGTAATTTACAGTTTTCAAGAAAAATGAGAGGACACACTGGTCTATGTGAATAAGACATTAACTCACATGACATATTTAGATTCACTGTTGTTTGATAATGAAGTAATAACAACATCCGCATCATATCTTGGAAGAGGAACATGGTCTGCTAGTCCCGTTCCATGGAGAAGCCCTGAAAAGATTCCATATCACATATACCAATACCTCGAAATGTACGTTTATGAAAATGAGATTTAATATACGTACATAGTAAAATATACATGTAAGCTGGATTTATATCAAAACATGACGTCCCATTCTTGTTCATGACGTCGCATAAAGCAACGTCAAAATATCGCAACATAATCGTAAACTATGCTACTTTTACGTTTATATAAAACATAAATAAAGTTTTGAACATGCATATATTGATAATTTCATGAAAATATACACTCTCTCAAAGAGTTTTAAGAAATATGACTTAATTTTGACACGGGGACAAATTTTGTAAAAACGCACCTTGTCCTTTCCATAAATGAGAGGCTCAAGAACTTTGTTACAATCAAGAAAAAAACCTTGTGTACAAGTCAGATAACTACTTGTTCTTTGCAACAAACCTTGTCCTGTTTGTGACACAAGCTCTGCAGCACCACCTAGTGGCTTAGTGAACACTCCAAGAATTCCCTTGCCGACCCCTTTCACAATCCCTGAGGCTGGCGATGCTCTGGCAGTCCGTTCACTGCTGTTTTCTGATTGGATGACATTCTGTATTGGCTGATCTGCCAAACCAGCTACTGCTCCTGTAGAACAAAAACAGTTTAAACATAGTGAGGAGTTATTTCTGATAAATTGGGTCATCTGAAAATATTTGGAATAAACCTACCATCATTCATTACTTTATAAATGACTCAAATATGACGAACATATGTTGGCATGGAAGAAATATCCAATTTAACTATTTTTCATGCAAATTAGTTGATGTTACCTTAAGAAACCATAAGTATGTATAGACTAACCAAGTACACTGAGTCCAAATCCTGTAAGCCCTTGTCGGAGTCCGCTGGATATCCCGTCTGGCTGCTGGCGACGCCTCTCCTCCTGCCGCTCCACATGAGATTCATCTAGAGACAGGCGATCCATGTTCCTGGATACGCTGGATGCAAAGTTTGTCACCGATGTCAGCATACCTGTACAGTTATACACGTCATAAATAACTGACCATACTAAACTTAAATCTGTACAGTAATATACATGTGTCTTACATATACTAAGAATTTTGGATTATAAGATTCAGAACTACACATATTATTCTACCTACGCTAAATAAAAAGCTAGTTAGCCCATTTTTGAATACTGCAAGTCGTTTTAATTCCATGGTATTAAAATTTCATGATTTCTCAAAAAGTACCAATCGCGATGGTTGTAATTTCACGCTGTGAGAAATTAATTTAAATTTCTGATAAGCATTTAAACGTTTTTAAAAACTAATGATAGCATTCACGATGGATTTAATTTCATGGAAAAACGATGAATCGCAAACATAGTGAAATCAAAACCATCGTGATTATTTGCCAATCTACAGTATTCAGCACAGCTATTGTCTGTAACATAACACATAATGAGACAATCCAGTGATTAAAAGAATTACTCTTCTCCAATCATCTCCTCTGGTAACAACCTTATGGAAAACAGCAGGACCATAATGCATGTACGAAGCCTTTTTCTGTTATTAGCCTACCCATTGATCTTTTGTTATTCATGTACCCTTTTCCTGTAATTTGCCTACCTGCTGATATGTTCCTGACAAATGAAGACATTCCACTAGATACGCCACTGACAAAAGCTCCGGGACCTTGTGTTAGACCAGCGTATGGTTTCTTCACTAGATCTGCTACCCCGGTCCCTATACTGCGAATCAGTCCGGTCGGATTTCCTAAAATCTCCAGAGATCCAACAACAATGCCTGAAATAAGAGACACTGTGTAGTTGAAATTCATCACGAAAAGTACATTCTCTTTTTTTAATTTTTGACAGTCTAAAATTCAGGTATCATAAAGTGTTTGTAATGATGTACATGTATATTCCTGATAATCCAAAATCAGATAACGGTACTAAAATTTAGATTTAGCCCAATGATAAATTGCAAGAAATAGAAATGATACATGTACATATATGTAGGATTCTTACTGTCCAATCTCACACACACCTGAGATACCAGTATTAACTTACCTGCTCTAAAGAGAGCACCTGATGCATAGTGCATCGCCAGGGCTCTGATCAGATGATAAGATGTTGTCACAACTTTAGTTTTCTCAAACTTTCCAAAAGCTAGTGGAGTCCGGTCTGAAGCAATAAACAGCTTCAGTGAGGCATGTACACTGAGAAGGAGAGATACAGGTTTGATACACAGGTGTTCTATTTTAACTGGAGAACTCAGGACAACTGAGGAAGATTTGAAAGACCTGGGTAGTTTCTTTACAGTTTGCTTCCTTGAGGTAGGATATGAAAGACTGGTAGGAATGAGAATATCAAACTCCTTGAGAATCCTGTACACAAACTTGTCATTGATGTTGGCAGTGATTGGAGAAATACTGACTTCTAGGGACTTCACCAGGCTGTGTGTCAGACAGTCATGTTCCATCACCCCCTGTACATGACACATACTCACAGACTTCAGAACAGCCAGCTTCTCCATTACATTCATACCAGCCACATCTGGAAACTCCACTGGAGTCTGTGCCATAAAAACAACAGGGAAATCATACAGTCCCTTGGTCAGGTAAAGCTGATTATCAACCTGCAAGCTTCCAAGACACAGTGACAAACACTGATGCTGATCTTGATCTTTAGAATTTTTGTTTGACCTTGACCCAGATGAGGGAAGGTGAGCCAGAAACAAGTGATCAACAGAGACCTGGAGAACTTCAGAAATCTCCTCTGTAGAACTGGTCTCATCCTGTAGCACCACACACACATGGTGGCAGTGGAGTCCAAATACAACATCTATTTTACTCTTCTGAGGTTTTCTTTTTGAACTTCCCTCATGAGCTCCTGATGCCATAGCTGCAGTTTCCAGAGACTGGATGATGGACTCATCCTCTTGGCTATCGTAAGTGCTGTCAGGTGGGGCTTCAGTTTTCTCGGTTTTGATCCTACTTCTGATCTCCCTGGCTGATACTTCAGCTTTACTTATTGCTTCCACGATGATATGTGTTACCATGGCAACACTTTTAACCTTGATCTTAATATCCAATGATCCAGGAATGGACACAAAAGATTCCATATCTGAATTGACATCAATAGCACTACTCCATACAACTTTTTTAACAGTTTCAGATTGCTTCCCTTGGTTTTTCATTACTCCAAAGTGTAGTTTAGGAAATTTGAGGTCCCCCACATTTTCTGAAAATCTCTGGTTCATCAGTAATGGTGTGTAGAACACATTTCTGTGAGGTGGAATGGTAGGTAGAGAACTCAATAACTCAGTCTCCTCCTGAACAACAATTCCTGGAAAAAGTATTATAAAATCATAAATACATATACCTGTGTTAGCTTAATTATATCACAACAGTAATAATGAAGCATAAAGCATAAGAAGAATCTAAGATTAGATACACACCTGCAGTGAGCAGAGCAAGATTTTGATGTCCGTAACAGAGAGGGAATGTGGTCTTATTGTAGATCAGACAGGAGGGGGACTCATCCTCCCTGACCACATAATAATGGATTCCCTGTCTGAAGAACCCTGTAACACACACTGGTCTGGTGTGGAGATCCCCATCAGTGGTAGGCACAGCTAATGTAAGCTTAGTTCCCTTCTCTGTGGCTATCATTCTCACTGGATGTGACCAATCAGAAATGCTTTCACTGTGTGTCTCCGGAAGATCAGAGCTCTTGTTTGATTGGATGGTTTTTATGGAGATATAGTGAGAAAAGATTTCTTCTTTAACATCTGTACTTTCCAATGCATTCCATGTTAACAAGGGAGAGAAGTCTGTTTGGTCCTTTTTACACTTCAGGTGACTTTGAATGTTTGATGAGGAACTCGGTGCTAAATTAACCTGGTTTAAATGAATCTGTTTTATTGCACATATACACTGATAAAGGTTCAATATTTCAAACAACAGCAATGCTTTAGAGAGCTCAATGGTTATTAGAAGAATCCATCAATTTCAAGACTCTTAATGATTTAATCCTTGATTAAATACAGACCTTATTGTTACTGACTGGAATGGCATTGAGTGACACAGTCATGGGGTTAGGGGTCAGATTACAGAGGTTAAAGGTTTCTGTTATCACAATTATTCTCATGTTCTTCTTTACTGATGACTGCAGGGTCAGGAAACAGATCTGCAACAGGAAAAGTACACATACTGGATGACTTGTGATATTTTTTCAACTCAAAATTTTTGTGATGTAAATTTTTTGTAATTTGATCCTCCAGAAGTAGATTATAATTTCTGTGGCTATAATTTCCTTGATTTCATTTGAATTGCAATACCAAGACAGAGGATTAGAATATTATCATTTCTAATATTTTTTGGTTGCAATTTTGTCGGAGTCATAAAAATTCCACAAAAATTGGACAACCACAGAAATTACCTATTGTGCATTATTTATAAATACCATGTTCCTTAATAAATGTATTACACAAAAAAGACTTCTGTGTAAATGCAGTCTAACACATGTATATTTCTATTGTAACATCACACGAGCTCTTGTATTACTTGATTTTTCTGTGGGTGTTTGATAAGGATTCTGGTTTGAAGATATCCATCGATGAAGAGTATTCTCCCTTTGTCTGGTCTGTATAATTGTAGTTCTACTTCCTCATCAGAAAGAGGAATTGGGCTGGTGTAAAAGGCAGACCCCTCAAACACCACACCAATCACAAACTCTGTCTGAAAAAATATATGGACATTTAAAATCAAATCATTTTTTTTTAATAATTGACAGCTAGTAAAAAAAATAAAGATTTAACACGACACTCATTTTATCATACCTTGAACTTTGGTGGTGTAAATGTCTTTTTGGATGGAAGTTGCCAAGATGTGCCATTTTGTTCTACTATCATTAGGTCAAGGTCAGTTTGGTTTGTCATGAGACACCATGGCGACACATCAACCAGCAGTGTGCCACAGCCTGGCCAGTACTCAGAGAGGTTGACATGTAGGTCAAGGCTGGGCTGGGACACAATCAGGTCAAAATCCCTGGGGTCTGTTCCCTCTGATGACTGGTGATTAGAATCAGGAGCAGATTCTGGGGGGCAGTAGAATATTCCAGGGGGCTCTCTGTTAATCAATCAAACAACAGTACATGTATTTGAAACTACTGTTTTATTCTTTTTTTTCAAAACTTAAAAAAAGAGCTTAAATAGGAAATACTCGTATACTGGTAATATCATTTACTTGGAAAGAGACAACTGCTTAATGTCTGAGATTCATTCAAAATGCAATGTGTTCAATAATATAGAAAATGCTGCACAGAAAAGGGCACAGAGTGAATGTTAAAAGAATAGAGTTTATTTTCAAAGTCTTTGACTAGCATACTTGGCAACATCTGTGAAACAATAGGGCCAGTGATCTCCATCCTCCTTCCTCCAAGTTTGAGTGAAAGCCTCCACATCTATTTTTGATGGTGATGACCTTGTGATTTGATTTATAAGTCCTGTAGTCAAGGTCACTGAAGAACTAGATTTCTCCAAACCCTGACTAAAAATAGAATAATACAAATGATACCAGGAATTTATGTTCAGCAATCAATGATGGATTAACAAGTGAGATAAGATTTCCTAAACTTAATGTAACATATAGATTCTTGTTTTACCTGAGCTGGAAGGTGAGATTATGACTGTAAGCAGCCCCTAGACATTCCAGCTGGAGTTCTCTCCCTTTTCCAGGAACATTGACCTGCCGTGTCTGTTGCATGCTGGGAGTTTCTATGTGAACGATTAGCTGTCGAGGTAGCTGAGATCTTATCACGTACAGGGGACATAACAAAACCTTGAATGTGAGTTAAAATCAACATTAATTGAAAGATCTGAAGCAACCAAAAAAAAAAAGATCATTTTTATGAAATACACTGTAAGTTAGGATGTCAACCACCCCCCTCAATTTCTTACGTAGAATTATACCAAGGTTATAACAAGAGTACCAAAACCTAACAGCAGTAGGAGGCTTCTGTTGATGTTACGTACAGATAAGGTCCCATATTACCTGAATTCAACTTTTATAAGGAACAAATTTACCATTATATAACATATGATTTTGAAAAAAAAGATCTTTATGATATCTATAATTTAAAATAAAGAAGTGATTAATTTTTTGGAAAATTCATTTTTAATATTCCATTACAATGTTTAAAAAACTAATCTGATTAAAGAGTTCTGAGGGTAGAGATAAAGAAGTCACATGGAAAGGTAGGGTACTTATAATGTCTAAATGTTTAACAATGAGAAACTGTGCTGTCAAAAAGGAACTGTAGATCAAATCTATAAATCATTAGTACTAGGTGTGCTTCAGTGTGAGCAATTCACAGGGTACAATCACTCATTAGGAGTTCTCTTCAGCAATTAAAATATTGTGCATACACATAATACTCAAATATTAAATTATGTACATAATTGTATATATAATTATATGTACTACATATCAAGTAACATGAATTGTGCAATATATGTCTGCCAACAAGTTCACAACATGTAGTCTCTAAGGACAAGAATATATAAATTGTTATGTTAGAACTTAATTTAAATATGAAAGATTAATCAGAGAATTAAATAAAATAGAACACAGAAGCCTAAAAATAAATGTAAAACTTTATGGAAAATCAAAATATACTCTGTTACTATTGATTTCTAACATATAAAGGTTAAATAAAATACACTTAATGTCATTTAAAGATAATCATAATTATTTTTATTGACTAGAATCATACACAAACACCTGAAGGTTCTAGAAACTGTTACAATAAACGAAATGTTTCTTTATTCAAAATATGCATAAAGAAATGAAAAAAAAACTCATAATGGAATTGAAAATTGTTTTTGTATTATCTTCTCATAGTAAAACATACTAGGTAATTAGAGATTAAAGAGCTCACCTCAAAGAATGTTGTCTTTAAGTAAGGCGAAGTTCCACACTAAATCAATAATCTAGTAGAGTACTTCCTTAGATGCAACATTTATGCAATTTTTGGTCTGATAGGGCTTGCAGTTACTTGGGAATGGACTTATCTAAAAACTTTAAACTAGTCACTCTTTCAGAAAATGCAAGTCAAATCCAGCATCTGAAACAAGTCTGGTAGTGTGTATCCTTAGATGCATCATCCATGCAAGTTTGGTTCAGATAGTCTTGATAGTTTCTTGGTCATGAACCTGCTCCAAAAACTTTAAATTGTTAACTCATCTGGAAAATGTAGGTCAAATCCCGAATCAAAAGCAATCCTGGTAGTGTGTGCATTAATAACTTCAGTGCAAAGTTGGTTAGCATAGGGCTTATAGTCACTTTAGAAAGAAATTGCTCCAAAAACTAATGTGCATCCTTAGATGTATCAACCATGCAAGTTTGGTCTATGTACGGCTTGTTACTAGGATTACACATGTGAAGTATGAATGCCCTAGCTTGAATTGTTCAAAAGTTATGGCCAAGGTTAAACTTTGGTAAAATTTTGCGAAACTGGGTCAAACTCCAAGGTCAAGGTCAAAAGGTCAAATACGATGGTACCCAAAGAAAGGTCTTGTCACAAGGAATACACATGTGAAATATGAAAGCCATAGCTTCAACCAATCAAAAGTTATGGGCAATGTTAAACAGACAGACAGACAGACAGGTAAACAAGAGGCCCATGGGCCACAACAATATGGCCCTGTTGTTCTTCGTCAGCAGATTTTCCTACTATATATTCATATGTAAAGTTTTGATCACCTGTCACCAAACTTGAATCTATACTACCTGAGGATGCTTCCATATCAATATGACTCATCATGGCTTTGTTGTTCTTGAGAAGAAGATTTTTTAAAGATATTTCCTATACATGTTCTATTGTAAAACTTTGACCCCCCATTATGGCCCCACCCTACAACTGAAGGATGCCTTGAACAAACTTGAATCTACAATACATGGATGCTTCCATATCAATATGACTAATCATGGCTTTCCTGTTCTTGACAAGATTTTTGAAGATTTTTCCTATATATTCCTATGTAAAACTTTGATCGCCCATTGTGGCCTCACCCTACCCTCAGGGGTCATGATTTGAACAAACTTGAATCTACACTACCTAAGAATGATTCCATATTCAATATGACTGGCTTTGCTGTTTTTGAGAAGAAGATTTTAAAAGTTTTTTCCTATATATTCCTATGTAAAACTTTGATCCCCCATTCTGGCCCCACCCTAGCCCCGGGGGTCATGATTTGAACAAACTTGAATCTACACTACCTGAGGATGATTCCATATCAATATGACTAATTGTGGCTTTGTTGTTATTGAGAAGAAGAATTTTAAAGATTTTTCCTATATATTCCTATGTAAAACTTTGATCCCCCATTCTGGCCCCACCCTACCCCTGGGGGTCATGATTTGAACAAACTTGAATCTACACTACCTGAGGATGATTCCATATCAATATGACTAATTGTGGCTTTGTTGTTCTTGAGAAGAAGATTTTTTAAGATTTTTCCTATATATTCCTATGTAAAACTTTGATTCCCCATTGTGGTCCCACCCTACCCCTGGGGGTCATGATTTGAACAAACTTGAATCTACACTATGTAATGAAGGTTTCACATAAGTTTCAACTTTTCTGGCCCAATATTTCTTGAGAAGAAGATTTTTAAAAGATGACACCAAATTTTCACCAATTCTTAATTATCTCCCCTTGGAAGAGGGCGTGGCCCTTCACTTGAACCCCCTTCACCCAAGGATGCTTTGTGGCAAGTTTGGTTGAAATTGGCCCAGTGGTTCTGGAGAAGAAGTCGAAAATGTGAAAAGTTTACAGACGGACGGATGGACAGACAGCTAGACGGACAGACGGACTGCAGACAAAATGTGATCAGAAAAGCTCACTTGAGCTTTCAGCTCAGGTGAGCTAAAAACTATATTCCCCTGAATCTTCGATATGGGGGCATAAAAATAGTGAAAACTGACTTGGCAATTATAAAAGAAAAATTAAGGGGCCATAAGTCTGAATATTTTGCAAAATCCCTTAAAACTTGAACTTCCTCTGTCACTAACTGACTCACATTTACAAGGTCAAATCCTAAAAAAGCTCATAGTCAACAGATGGATGGACAAAAATCACCACACCATAAAATAACCATCTAAAGACAGGCAGATAAGAGTTTTATAATTCACCAATGACCCTCATACATAATAAATATGTTCTCATAAAATCCCTTTTGTTGAAATGATTATAATGATGAAATTCTGTGCACATATGGAAGAAGAATATTGGACAGAAGTTTATCTACTATTATTAATATCCAGAAATTGTGAGACATTTTGAAAACCCAGTGTAACTTACCATTCTCCTTGTAGAGGTATAGCACCTCTGAAGCTGACAGGGAGATAATCAAATATTGAAAGGGACAAAAATACAGGCACACAATGAGTTGGAGCAATAAACAAGTATAACATTTTAGCTCATGTAATATGGTCAGGTAGTCAATCTTAGTACGACTAAAATTGGTTTCAATGACATTTTTTGTGTATCTACTGGCACATCACCATTATCTAACAGAATTATGTACTGTAGATTCTTATTGGCCTGAGTAATATAAGAATAACTTACTGTTACACGGGAGGAGCTCTTCACATGTTGACAGATCACATGGCACCAGATATGTATCTTACTCTTGTCTGGCATTGTAATCTGTAACAATAACAATAGTACAAATAAAAATCAAAACAGTAAATAAGTTTTATTCCCCCTTTAACGAAATACTGTAGATGTACTTTTTTTTTCAATAGAAGTTTGTCAGAGTGTACTTAAAGCTTATTTATGACATATAATGGTAATCCATGATATCCATGTAATTTTCTATCCATGGATTGAACAGGAATTGTGATTCTGTGGAATTATGACCCTGTGGAGAAAAGTACATCTACATAAACAATCAGTATACAATGTTTCTACATCTTATAGCTCCATTATTAATTGTATTTCAAATAGAAATGCAGAAAGTGAACAACAGTACAGATAAATTAATTCTTTATGAGTTTATAAAACGTGTCAGACATCTTGACACCTACCATCACTGTCCTACTGTCTGTGAGCTTCTCTGCTGACACATAAACTTCACTGGACCAATCATAATCATCCACTGGCCCTCGGTGTGCTCGTACTTTAATGTACTTGATATGCTCTGGTTCCAGGATGTGGGAGGGGCCTGTCTCTCTCTGGTGAAGCATGATTGTTGATTGGTTCATCTCAGACTCTGAAGTGGAGTAGAAGATCCTTACATTTAATGGTAAGGACATGTGACTGGCAATCATCAGCTGTCCATGAATTGTCACCTGAAAAAGAGGCATTTTTTCTCCTGTTCAGAACTACTGTTTTGGTAATACAAAACTTTACAGGTCAAATATTTGTATACACTGTGAAGAAAATTTAAGCTGTAATACAACTTCCATCTCCCAATTCAAATGTTCTCACGAAGTTACAATTCACCTGTTTCTGCACATTAGATATCTGTTTGACAGTAATGATCAGGGACTGCTGTTGATTAAACGTCTTCATGACCCGGACTACACTACCAACAGTGTTTATGTCAAATGGTTCTGACCACTTCCACACCTTACCATCAACACACAGATGGAACTCCTGTAAATAAAATATGGTACAATCACCATGACCCACTTGTTGTTAAGTAAATATGTAAAGAGCAAAATTTCCTTTTGTTTACTAATATGCATGATGAACTTTGACCTTTACCTGTTTTGCTTTCTGACTTCTCCAGCTGTAACAGTGCATGTGTCTAGATTCCAGGACAATGTTTTCATCAGTTCCAACCTACAATTACACAGATCAACTATAAATTGTGATCTACTTGCAGATTGTACTTCATATGAATAGAAAACAAGAGGCCCAAGGGCCTTGAATCGCTCTTCCGATAAACTGTACAACATATCACTTCTATTTGAAGCCTCTAAGTATCCGGTATATTTAGATAAAGCCTTGAAATTCCAAAGGTAAGTCATCATGACCTACATTTTAGATGAAACACTCTGAGAACCCAAGATGAGTCAAAGCCAATAAGTACCTGAGAGTTGGTCATGGTGACCTACTTAACATTTGTCATTCTCTGAGGACCTAGGATGCATCAACTAAGTTTGATGATTGTAAGCCAATTAATACCTAAAATATTTTAAAAATAATAACCATAAAATTTCAAAAGTAGGTCACAGTGACCTACTTTTCAGTCGACTAACTCTGTGGACCCAAGATGCATCAACTGACAAAGTTTGATGATTTTAAGCCAATTAGTACCCGAAATATTTAATTAAAGCCATAAATTTTCAAAAGTAGGTCACGGTGACCTACTTTTCATACGACCTACTCTGAAGACCCAAGATGCATCAACTGACAAAGTTTGATGATTCTAAGCTAATTAGTACCTTAAATATTTAATTATAGTGATATAAAATGAAAAGTAGGTCATGGTGACCTACTTTTCAGTTGACATTTTTTGAGGACCCAAGATGCATCAACTTACAAAGTCTTATGATCATAGGCTTTAAAATGTCCAAATTATGCCTCTAAAATGCTTTGAAATCGAATGCCTGCAAAGTTCAAAAAGTAGGTCACTGTGACCTACTTTTTAATAAAAATGTTTTATGGCCCCAAGATGCATCATCTTACAAGATTTAATGATTCTAAACCTCTCAGTATTCGAATTAATGACCTTAATTGTTTTGAAAAAGATTAGCCATAAAATTAAAAAAGTAGGTCAAGGTGACCTACTTTTTAGTCGACATACTTTGAGGACCAAAGATACATCAACTGACAAAGTTTGATGATCATAGGCCTTAAATTGTTCAAAATATGCCTCTTAATCATTTTGAAAAAGAATGGCTGCAAAATTTTAAAAGTAGATCACTGTGACCTACTTTTGACTCAACATGATATGACGTCCTTAGATGCATCAACTGACAAGATTTGATGATCCTAGTAAGCAAAATATCAACATTTTAAGAAAATGTAATTTTTGGTCAACTTTGAAGTGACCTTGAGACCACGCCCTTTGCCCCAGGGTAAATCCCTGTGCAAATTTTAATCTACAACATATCCTCATCATTTTGTATAAGTTTGGTGATAATCTGCCCAAAGGTTCTTGAGAGGAAGACTTTTAAGCAACCAGTACTTTTGTTTCTATTTTCCTAATTATCTTCTTTTGTTTAAGGGTCACAACCCTAGTTTTACTATAAATGGGAGCCCTTGGGCCAAGGATACCCTGTGACAAATTTGACAATAATTGGTCAAGGGGTTCTTGAGTTATGGCCTATATTCTAAAAAGTTTACGCACATGGCACAAATGGCCATAGCATTAGCTCTTGGGGTCTTTGGCTCAGAAGAGCTAAAAATCTGTTCAATGTTACCTACCTGACCAAATCTGATTGGTTGAGATGTATCGTTACATATAATATAGTGACTGAGTATCACTCTATCTGTTTCTTTTGTGACACCAGACACCTATAAATGTGACATGTAAAAAAATTACTAATGATATAACATAAATAAGAAGTATCTAAACTGAATAACTAATATACAGACTCAACAGCTCCGAGTTTTCTGAGCCCAGTACCTGATTCCACGCCTGAAGTGAGCGGTTCAGAGTGTGTAAAGCTCCCTTTCCAAACCTGATAAACACTGGATCTACTGTCAGGTTACAATCCAACTGCTGAGTCTGTGGGGAGAAAAGTTAATTATAAAACACGTTCACCTTTCAAAATGCCCTAAAGTTTCAGTTCTTTTTCATTTTATCACTTAATTAACTTATCACTTTAAAACTCACCCTTTTGTCTTCTGGAAGTAAACATAGGTCTCCATAGAAAATAAAAGGTTTGATGACATCATGATCTGTAAGATTGCCATAATCTGTCACCTGTACACTAGCGGACCCACTCAGCTACAACAGAATTGTTTTTACAGTAAAATTTTCTAAACTAATCAATTTTCCAACTTATAAATTAAATTACATATGCTTCAGTTTTAATAAACAGTAAGTGAACACATCTGGTTAAGCAACTGTTTTCCTCTAAACTCTATGGTTCCATGGTTTTTACCAGACTACCTGTGGACTTTGATGACTATACCTGTACAGCAGTCCTCCTGAAGTCCCCAACCAGGTGTCTGACCTGTAGGGAGGAGTTTCTGAAGGTCAGGGCAGTGAACATTTGGTCCTCCGGAAGATTTCCATCAAAAACAAAAGGGTGTAATTTACTGGGAACACCTGGAAAAAAACAACTCAGATAAAAGCTAGGAATAAATCTACACAGATTGTCCCTTATTTGCCTACTGTTTAGCCTTGTTCACTCATATCATGGGAATTACAAACTGAAAACAAGTTAACAGTGACGTTGTTACTGAAATTAATTGAAATTTTTTGTCAACATGCTAAAATTAATCAAATTTCAGATGAACAGTATATGTTGATAAGATTTTATGAAATTCTTAACATTTGAAATATGAATTATGTTTTAAATTCTTTTATAAATACAGTGTAATGCAAAAGAAAATAAAAATGATTCACTAGATAAACTCCAGTCAAACCTATATATCTGGAACATGATAGAGCTATCAGAAAAATTCAAGATATCAAATGGTTCAAGATATCAAGGTCGAAATTATATTCAAAGTAAGACTAGGATTGTAGACTTACTTTACAATATCCCTAATATTGGACATATTGGTATACAATATAATGAAGTTCTACTGTACTTCTACTAATCTTGACTGTACAACATAAACACACCTGATCCCAAACACCTGAAGTGGTTATATGTACAACATAAACACACCTGATCCCAAACACCTGAAGTGGTTATATGTACAACATAAACACACCTGATCCCAAACACCTGAAGTGGTTATATGTACAACATAAACACACCTGATCCCAAACACCTGAAGTGGTTATATGTACAACATAAACACACCTGATCCCAAACACCTGAAGTGGTTATATGTGCAACATAAACACACCTGATCCCAAACACCTGAAGTGGTTATATGTACAACATAAACACATCTGATCCCAAACACCTGAAGTGGTTATATGTACAACATAAACACACCTGATCCCAAACACCTGAAGTGGTTATATGTACAACATAAACACACCTGATCCCAAACACCTGAAGTGGTTATACAGGTGAACGCCCACCAGACTGACATTAACATAACACTGGAGGACTGGGATAAGACAGGGGAGGTAACTGGAATCAATCTTCACTGAGGCGGCCAGGGAGGTGGGAAGTAAGATAGAACTTCTATCTGGGAGGTCCTCTTCTGTCAGTCTGTAAAGGAGAAAAATGGTGTCTCCATTTCTGTACATCACATTTAGTCTAAGTAATACTGCATGGCAATTGTATATCTATGTTCTGTTAACTGTCCTAATAATCCTGAGGTTTATTTCATGTTAATAATGTACATGTATTTAGGTCACTTTGTACCATGTAAACTTAACTGTAAAATGAACAATGACTTTATGACATGCCCAAAAATTTTTAAATTTTTAAAAAAAAAATTCTCTTTTCTCACAGACAATTATGAATTATGAATTCAGGAAATTATATTTTAAAAAAAAGGATAAAGTATGTTTATTAATGAAATGATTCTTTGTAAAATATCAATAACCAAAGAAAAACTTACTCATGACCAGGACAGAAAATTTGGTTATATTTAATCAGCACCCTCCACATCTTGGCAACCACTAGATCCCCCACAAGATGAACTTTGACCTCTGGAAGCTCCAGCACGGTATCTAAGTTTTCTGACAGATCAAACTGTATGTAGGTCACAAACTGTTTTGTGACCACATCATAATATTGCAAAGCACATGGCACCTGAAGACAAAAAAGAAATCCAATGTTTTCAAAAGCTTCTAAGAATATCATCATTTTCTGCATATTACAACCTAAGCAGTAATCTATGAAAGGGTCTCTTTATCAGTAACACCATAAAGAGGTCCTATTCATAAGGAGGTCCTACTCATAAAAAGGTCCTCTGCGTAAGGAGGTCTTCCTCAGAAAGAGGTCTTACCATAAAGAGGTCCTACTCATAAATAGGTTTTACCATAAGGAGGTCCTACTCATAACAAGAGGCCCAAGGGCCTTAACGGTCACCTGAATACAATACGACAATTTAGAGGATCCATAAACTGATAAATGAAGCTTTGTTACCCAAAAGCAAGAAAAATAGTATGATTAGCATCAACAAAATACATGTAATTGGTCTAGTATCTATCTGCCCCCCTCCTTTTATCACTATTCCCATGCAGACTACTAACAAAATGTCTATTATTTAACCCCATATTATTACTTCTCACAATGGCCTCTCTTGGCCTTTGAAGAACATTTAAAAAGATAAGTTATTTTTGTCTCATTTTTATTCATCTATTATTTCCAAGTCATTAAAACTAAAACGAAAGTACTTTTTTCATAATACAATAAATTTTCTTGCATAATTCTCTTATTCTGTTAAGCTTTCAAATACATTATTTACATTGATTAATTATCAAAGGTGAATGGCAAAGGGGAATAACTTTGCTCAGCAGAATACAAGTTAATATAGCCCTGGCCAGGACCAGAACACTTGACTAAATAGTCAAAGTGTTCAAAATTCTGGTAAAAATACCCTTGCATATTAAAACTTTTACTCTGTTTGCCTTGAACATCCCCAAAAGCATAGAAGATTTTTAAAGAAATGCATTTTCACCATATTATTAAATAAATAAAGCCTCATCCTTAGACCAGAACATCTGACCCATTGGCCACAGACTCACAATTCTGGAAGAAGCACCCTTTCTCATCATGACTATATACTTGTTTCTTTACTTTATAACCAGTAGTAGAAAAAATATTTTGAAAAAAATTATGCATTTTCACTATATAATCAATAGAGTTCTCCCCCCCCCCCTTTCACCAGAACCCCTGACCCAGGGGCCATGAATTTCACAATTTTGGAAGAGGCATTCTTCCTTATCATAACCATGCACTTCCTTTGTTTGAAAAATACCCAGGAGCAGAGAAGATGATTTTGAAAGAATTCATGCCTATTCCCTATATAATCAATAGAGCCCCGCCCTAATACCAGAACCCCTGACCCAGGGGCCAGGAATATCATAATTTCTGAGGAGGCAGCCATGCTCATCATAACTGTGTACTTAGTTTATTTAATATCCAGGAGCAGAGAAGAAGATTTTCAAAGAATTAATGCATTTTCACTATATAATCAATAGAGCCCCACCCTAACACCAGAACCCCTGACCCTGGGGCCATGAAATTCACAATTTTGAAAAAGTCACTCTTGTTCTTCATAACTATGTACTTAATACCCAGGAGCAGAGAAAAAGATTTTCAAAGAATTAATGCAATTCTACTATATAATCAATAGAGCCCCGCCCTAACACCAGAACCCCTGACCCAGGGGCCATGAAATTCACAATTTTGGAAGAGGCACTCTTGCTCATCATAACTATGTACTAAGTTAGTTTATTTAATACCCAGGAGCAGAGAAGAAGATTTTCAAAGAAATAATGCAATTTCACTATATAATCAATAGAGCCCCACCCTAATACCAGAATCCCTGACCCAGGGGCCATGAAATTCACAATTTTGGGAGAGGCACTCTTGCTCATCATAACTATGTAGTTATTTACTTTATTTAATACCCAGGAGCAGAGAAGAAGATTTTCAAAGAATTAAAGCATATCACTATATGATCTATATAGCCCCACCCTAGCACCAGAACCCCTGACCCTGGGGCCATGAATTTCAAAATTTTAGTAGAGGGCTCAATGCTTACTACAATGATGCCAACAGTTTGACTGCTTGATGTCCAGGAGTAAAGAAGAAGATTTTTAAAGATTGCATTATTTTTTGTGGTTTTTAGCCCCACCCCTCAGGCCCCAGGGGGGCAGGGACCATGAAATTTACAATTTTTGTTCCCCTTCACCCATAGATGCTATATGCCAAATTTGGTTGAAACTGGTTTAGCGGTTTCAGAGAAGAAGCTAAAAATGTTCAAATGTTAACACACGACGCACACTGCACGACGACGGACGAGAACGGATAGCAATAGGTCACCTGAGTGACTCAGGTGACCTAAAAAGATCCTCTGCATAAGGAGGTCTTCCTCAGAAAGAGGTCTTACCATAAGGAGGTCCTACTCATAAATAGGTCTTACCAAAGGAGGTCCTATTCATAAGGAGGTCTTACTCATAAAGAGGTCCCACCATAAGAAGATACTACTCATAAGGAGCTCCTACTCATTAAGAGGTCCCACCATAAGAAAGTCCTACTCATAAAGATGTCCTCCTCATAAGGCAGTCTTACTCAGAAAGAGGTCTTACCATGAGGAGGTCCTACTTGTAAGGAGGTCTATTCATAAAAAGTTCCTACCAAAAGGAGGCCCTACTCATAAAGAGATCCTACCATACAGAGGTCCTACTCATAAGGAGGTCCTAACACAGGGAGGTGCTATTCTTAAGGAGGTCCTAACATAAGGAGGTGCTATTCATAAGGAAATCCTACCAATATCTGTTTTTCCTCTGCTTTACTGGGGAAGTTCTGTGGTAAGTTGAATGGAATGGGAGTGAATGACATATGGGAGATAACTCTTGGCTGACTGTAACTCCATGTCATACTGGCTTCATCATTGTGGTCCTCGTTACAGAAGACAATCTGTCCTGCTGCTGGGAACATCACTCCATTATCTGTAAATATAATACATTGTTAGGTTACTAAAGGTTAAAAAGTTGATGAAGGACCAGCAGAGGGGAACATCACTCCATTATCTTTAAATATTACACATAGAATGAGGGTGCCAAGTTCGCTTACGAAAAGGTCAGCTAAGTTCATGAAGGGTCAGAAAAGATAATGAGGGGCCAGCAGGGGAGGGGGCATCATTTTACTGTCTGTAAATATAACACATTTATTAACTGAGGGCCAGCAAAGATTGATTTATTATCATCCTGTAGAAATAATTTCACAAGCAATAGAAAATTAAATATACTAAATATACACATATTAATCATAAAAACTACATGTATTACCTGGATTCATTACATACTGGAACTTTCCAGTTCTCAGATCATCCTTGGAGAACTCTTCAGCCACCAATAAGGACTCGACAGGTGCCCCCTCAGATTCCATCTTAAGGTCTGGGGGGTCCTTACTTTTCTTACTTACAGTTTGCAACTGATCAATGAATTTCTACAAAAAGAATTTTTAAAAACATGTACCATGATATAAATTTTTTATTTGGGAAGATAAACAGCTACAGGTACAAAGTATATCTTATGCTCTATAAAAACAAAATTATGCTATTCTATGTTTACTATCTCATTGGATGAGCTTTGCAAGATAGAAACTTTTTAAAAAATTCTTCAATAAACTGACATATTAACAGAATTCCTTGTACATGTACAGATATCAAGCATGACCCTTTAACCTATAAAACTTACCTTTAAACTATCCCCAATCACTTTGAAACATTTTACATGCTCCTGACCAAATGAGATATGTATGTGTTCTACAGTAATAGAAGTGACCACTCTGGGTAGAGACAAAGGGGTCAAACAATCGTCCTCATAGAATCTGACCACAGCATCAGCGGCTAAGCTGAGGGGCCCCAGAAAGGGGCAGGTTTTATTTCTATATCCAGTGCTGACAGTTAAATCCCAGAAATACAAGTCTGCTGTCAGGCCCTCTGTTTTATCTACAACAAATAATTCTACAATAATCTTTACATGCATAATCAGTCAGAAAAAATAATGAAGTAAAAGATGTCATTTAGAAAGCAAAGAGTTACATGTATGTAACTGAAGTTCATGTAAATGCCACCCAACTCGAAAGGTAAATGGCTCAAATCAAAATTAAAGCACTTTGCACAAAATTATTCAATAAAAAAATCACAGATCTTTTATGTCAAATTTGTTGTTTTGTTTCATTCTTTAATTTTCTACACATTCGTGAATAAAGAATAACAAGTTTGACTTGGATACACCCCCAAACATTAAGACCCTGACCCCTGACCTGGATTTTGCTGATTAGGAATCAGGTTGACCTCCAGCTGGATTTCCTCTACACTACTGAATAACTGAGCATGCTCATCAACACAGTCAGTTTCCATGGCTACAACCATCTGATTGCATACCACATCCACACTTCCAATCTTTGATAGCACAGCTGTGAAACAAAGATGAACTGTTCTAAACAAACTTTTCTCTAGCTCTCTTTATGAAAATTACAGAAATAATATTCTCCCAAAATATAATTAATAATCTTAGAAAGTTTTAATGAAAGCTTACTGAGTTATAAAAGGACTAAACAGCAAGAAAGGAAAAGAAAACTCCATCAACAAATCTGAATATATAGTTCTGCTAAGGACATTTACCTTGTATTCTTTCTGAACTTGCAGTTGTTGTCTCCCTTGTTGGTGGCCCAGATTTTTCTGTACCTCCTGGGGCTGCCCCCTCCATGTTGGATGGTCCCTCTGGGCTCTGATCACACGGATATGATACAATAATATCACTGAGGAAATTCTGAATGTGCTGTACTTTGTCCAGACTAAGGTTGACTTTCACTGGTCTCTCCACCTTGACTCCAATCTTAGCTGTTACAAACAAGATATCACATAGAAAATATATTAACTGATATCTTCTTATTCATTATGGTAAATATGAGGCCCATGGGCCATTCAGCCTATCTGAGTCACTTTGTGCTGTTCTTCATCAGATATTTTCCCCTCTATATTACCATGTAAAATTTTGCCCCCCCCCCCCAATATTATGGCCTCACCCTGGCCCCAAGAGGTCATGACTCAATCAAACTTAAATCCACACCACATGGGGATGCTGAATATCTATATGACTAACATGGCTTTTCTCTTCTGGAGAGAAGATTTTTTGCTATATACCTTTATCAAGTATTGATACACCACTTTGGTCCCACCCTTTTAACAAGGTCAATTATTTTGAACAAATTTGAATCCACACGACTTGAGAATGTTTGCATATTAATATGATTAGAATTGTCCTGCTACTCTTGAGAGGCATAAAAATAAAAAAAAAATATTTATATTTTACAAATAATATAAGTAAAACACAAGAGACTTACCCCGTTCCATCATTAAGTCTGCAACAGACAGCGTGCACAAACTTGGAGGGATTCCTGTCTTGGGATTCGGTTCTCCTGGTCTGGTCTCAATCCAGCTCACACCGTATGTCGACCAGTTGGGTAACTGCTTTGATAAATCTATCACAAGAAATTTTTATCATTGAGAGAGAACTCCAACCAAATGAATATTGATACATGTAATAACAATGCGTGCAAATTTTTTATTTATTCTTTTTAAAATATCTAAACAATTATGTACCTGTAGGAGTGATATTTTTATGGGGTCCTTTTAAGGAAATATCATAGCAGGAAATTTCAAACTTCTGGGTATCATGGTGACAGGAAAGCACTGTATGAGGTTGCCATAGATACAAATGTAAGAATGGTATAACAGGATCGTGACACGAATCTCCTGTACTTTCCTTCCTCTCTTTCACTTTAGAATTTTTCTCTGATCCCATGTCTGCCACATCAGCTTTATCAATTATCACCACATCATCTTCTAGATCCACACGTTTCTCTGTCCCCTGGTTTCTGAACAGTGTACAGGACACAACATTAGCAGTCAGTAATAAGTCAAAAGGTGTGACGGACCGAGACCCTAGACCATGATCAACTACAGAAGTTCTCTCTGTTCTGGTTTTCCCTGGGGACCTCACCGATGATACATCACTACCAAGTCCGCTGTCCACCGACACCTCAGATTTTGTGGGGGCACCTGGCTGACTCTTTCTGGAATGTTTTTCTCGTCTGCTTTGTTTCCCTGACAAGCTTGACAAGGCAGATAGAGCTAGGTCCTCAAAGAGTTTGATCTGACTTGTCCCAGCATAGATGTTAAGCTTGTTTGTTACATTGACTTCCAAGGAATGTCCACATACTAAAATCTGAAGAAAAAAACATTTACCCACATCAACATTTCAGAAAAATCAGATTACATTACTAACTCTACTGATCTCCAACACTACCTTCTGTACAGGTTGAATATCAGTTCTCTGTGAGATGTAAACAATAGCTGGAGCAGCCACAATCTTCATGTCCAATCTAAACAGAATGGGCACCAACTTGATAGGTTCACGTTCATCACTGGAAAACAAAAATCATCTAATTCATAAATATTCAAAGTATATTTGATCCAACAGTTTCTTATCAGTATGTAAGAATCTATATACTGATGAGCAACTTTTCTTTTATACCAAAATCTTTCACTATGTAATATACAGGATTTAATGATATATTTTTGAACATTAACCTGAAAGGTTTGAGAACAGTATTCCATTCCAGAGCTGGTATCTGGATCTTTGGCTTGACCAAGTCTTTTTGCCTCTCTGAATGTGTCTGCTGAAGAAAATCTCCCCATTTTCCTGAAAATACAGCCTCATTTCCAATTGAACTTTGCAATAGTTTCTCTCCCCCCCCTCTCTCTACGTATATATATATATATATATATATATATATATATATATATATATATATATATATATATATATATATATATATATATATATATATATACACATATATATATACACATATATATATATATATATATATATATATATATATATATATATATATATATATATATATATATATATCAACAATTTATATTCCCACATGTTTGATATCTTTTCTTTACCTGTACATATAGAAAGTCCCTGGATATCGATCTGGTACTGTCGATTCTCAATGGCTGACCCCGGTTGTTGTGTCAGGTTTAACTGCATGGCCTTATGATAGATCTCTCTCTCCACAGCATATCTCGGTAATGGATTATCCACCTGTGGATTCACTGCTATTTCCGGTAGAATGATCAGAGCTAGGTCATGACCTTTCTGCTCCACTGGAGATGTTTTGGGAATGAAGACTCTTACATTACTAATCGTAACATACAACAAAGGGAGAGAACTGGAGGTTAACACTGGAAGATTTTCCTTCTGATGAGCTGGTATTTCTGGTATTTGAACTGGCTTTGGCACAGAGGTAGATTTTTTAGGGTGTATTAGAGATTCAAAGCTGTTTAAAACAGTATGCACTGCTGGAATGTACATGATAAAATCACAGGGTTCAGTGTTCAGGCACATCTCTGAGATGTGTTTATGGAAGTATAGATCATAACGGACAGCCTCATTCTCAAATTCCTCAAAAGCTGCAAGGTCTGCATTTAGCTTCCTCATCTTTTTGGCAACGTTCTTACATAAGGCACGCGTGAAGGTGAAGTTGAGGAAGCCATGAGTTACGTCCCTTGACTGGGACTCTCCAGTTTTATGTAACGTGGAATGCTGGGAATGGAAACCAGTTTTGTGAGACAAAATCTGAATGTCATCTGAGATTTCTTTTTTACAACTCATTAAAATGCCCAGGAAAGGACCTTCTTCCCAGTGGGTCAGCTCACTACAATGGAAGATCATGAAACAGAATAGACTTGTCTTACTTTTCCATGGTCTGCTGCACATACACAATTATGATCTAAATCAGATTTTCTATTTTTAATCTTAAATTGTTTATACATGTATGATAAATACTTACTTTTTACTTTTGGGCATTTTCCTGTCAAAGTGATGAACATTAGCAGAGTTGCAAGTGACCTTGACCTTAGCATATATTTCCTGAACATCAACAGATAATGCGATATCCTCAATTTGTACTGTTACTCTATTTTCTGTTGGGATAAATTAAATAGCATGGTTATTTCATGTTTGAGAATCTAAGGCTAAAGAGGCATTTCTTCTGAAACCTGTGCAAAATTTTTTTTGTACCTGTCATTCTGTCCCTACCTTGATTTGTGATTTTATCATGTTTGTAGAACCTGAGCTCTAGTTTAGGGAGGGTCCACTGGAGCCATAGGGACAGCCTAACCCTGTCTTTACTGTATCCATCATATTCCAGGTCCTGGCTTGGAGTTGTCCCCCTTGATTTATTCTCACCAGATGTCTCTGTTTCTGATAGCAGAACATCTGTAAAAGCATTGTAAAATTATTTCTGTAAGCAGCCAGAGAGTAAAGGCTCTCAATGCATAAACAAATTCACAAAAGATTTTAATCGCAAAAATATTTCAAACTGCCATTTGTACCTTCTACAATAGACTTATTGCTGGTTGGTTCTACTACAGGGGGTGTCTCTGGGTTTTCATCCTTCTTGGCTTTCTCTACAGGTTTGGGTAAAAGATCTTTCATCAGAGACCTGACATCTGTACCCATGTCCAGTAGACTCATTGCCAGTCGAGCACATAACTTAACCTAGGATGGTAACATGGTAAACAGGGAGGCACAATAAATGACCTAGGGTACATATACTGTATATAAATGATCTACAATCTTAAGTGGACTATCTTACTTTTATATTAACTTCATTATCAGTCACAAAAATGGCCTTGAAATTGGATAAAATTTTAAACCAAGTTATCATATTCATACTCAAGGGAATATTTTTTAATGCAGTATAATTTAAAATCAAATCCTATAAAATTGTTGTAGACCAAAAGTATGCATGTACAAATTTCTACACATGTAATTGATTTTCATGATAGAAAATGTAACTGAAACCATACCTGAGGTTTGGAACAAGAAAGGGTCACTGCTTTCATGTCTGTGTGTAGACAGAGACCAAGTGCTGAGATATTATCTGAGGACAAAGGATCGTACTTAGAAGTGACCGCTACTGTACAACTGACCGAAGCTGGCTTGACCAGTGAGTGGATGTCTGACCCATGGAGGGAGTACACACTAAAGTCATCCAAACTCATCTGCCATGGCAACCTCTCACCTGTGAATAAAAACCATCAAAATTCCAAGTTATTCCTTCCTTAGCAAATTCCAGTGAAAACATGACAGGAACTATATGTACATCTGGTATTGAAGTGCAAAATGAGATACATGTATATAATTCAATGTGATAAAATAAACAACATTGTTTTAGCATGTCTCCTTTAAACTGATGTCAAAGGCTAAGTTCATTTGTAGGTCATTTTATGATGATACACCTACATGTACATGTATATGTCAAATACATTAAGTATAGGTTAACAGATAAGACAAAATTACATCAAAAATTAAAAAAAAAAACAAGAATGAGAATTCAGGATAACACAGTATGTTCCTCTGTGTTTAAGAGAATACATAAGTCACTGGTTTCCAAATGAATACAGTTGAACTTGGGTATCTTGAACACTGATATCTCAAATACTATGGATATGTCGAAGTAATTTGGAAGTCCCAACCACTTATTCTTTTAAGTATTTTACCCTCCATATCTCGAATCCGTTATCTTGAAGTTTTTTCTTCGTTCCATCAAGTTTGAGATAATGAGGTTTTACTGTGTTTGAATAATTCTAACCTTTCAGTGGTCCCTCCAGACTAGTTATAGGGATGTCCATTCCCCTGGACAGAGACCGCCCACCAGAGCTGTACAACTTGAGGTTGGGGAGACAGAACACAATTGTCTCTGTGGTGGGGTTTTCAAACATGGCTTTTCTGATGTTGAGGGGTATGAAGGAGCTGGGCTCTGATACCATCACACTGGCTGAGCTCAAGAACAGACAACAACACTTCACATCCACCTGTAAGTAAACTCAAGTATCAGTTAACATAACCATAATAAAAGATAAGAAAAATTACAGAACTAAATGTTCTCTCAGCTACTTTTCTTAAGGTGCCAGTAGTGGACTATATAACATACATGTACGTGTACATATAAGATGCAGAAAATCATAGTATCATAATGAACACATGGCTAATCTGCATTTCAGAGGTAACTTTTATTAGTCATTGTTTCTGGTGCCTGTAGATAGAAAATAAAATAAAATGAACATTTCTTTGATAAAGAATTAGATGAGTGTCTTACCTGAAGGTAGAGAGACTTAACATAAGGAAATATCCCTGACAGCCATTTTCCAAGAACATCCTCAGTTTTCCCTGATTCTTCACTCTCTGACTTCTGATTGGTCAGTGCTCTCTGTGAGGCACTTTGGGTAATGGTTTTTGTTTCTACTTGACTAGTGTTTTTAGTAACAGATTCTGTTTTGTGAGTTGTTGATTCAGCACTTGAAGCTGTCAAAAAAGAAAAATTAAAAACATATTTTATATGTTTGCTTTTAAAAGAAATGCAGAAACACATCAATTGCATGTATAATATGACATTCACCTTTTGACCTTTGTCTCTGCAATGGAATGGTGGCCTCAGCCAAGGCCAGGTCAAGGCTGACTTGACTCTCTTTTTTGGTGGATTTCTTCTTTAGTGTGGGTGTGTAATTAAACCATTCATTTAATAACTGGTCCATATTACATACAAATCCCTCCATGTTCAGCAAGGCTACAGTTGGAACTAAAACCAAAAGAAATAATAATTTGTTTTAAAGATCCTTAATTTAATTAAATACCATGTATCAAAACAAAGAAATGTGCTATAATGCAATAGTTTTACCCTTGCCTGTTGTCTGATCTTTGGGAATCTGGTAAAAAATTGTGATGAGATCTTACCCTCTGCTGTTGCCTGATCTTTGGGAATCTGGTAAACAATTGTGAGGAAATCTTTGGATTCTTCAGTGTAAGTTGTCTGGTGCATGAAGAACTCTTCTGTGGAGATTTTACTGGTGTCGGCCGGAGCAGTGAACACTGGGATAGGCGGTGAGTTCCTCCCCACTGTAACAATAACAATGTTGTCTCATCATTAAATATAAATGTATTATTGACAGTAAATAATTAGTGAATGTCTGATCATAAAACAATACTAATTCATGAGGAGACAGGTAACTTACAGTACAGTGTCACCATGACTGAGGACAGGGTACCAGTACAGGCCTGAGTGTCCACCAGTTTACACTTCTTCATTTCCATTCCTGACACACTCAACTCTAATACAGGGATGTTCACTGCATCTACAACAAAAATATTCACACATCAAAGCTAAACTGCAAGCTACCTTAGCTCTAACACAGGGATGTTCACTGGATCTACAATTAATATTTTCACACTTCTAAGCTATACTGCAAGCTACTTTTTTTTCAACCACAGTGTATAACCTATAACTGAAGTGACTTTGTTAATATTTATTGTTCTCTGACACAATATTAGAATACAGAAATGTACATGTGTTATGAGACCTGTGGTTTTTCTACCTTCCACAAAGTTATCCCTCAATAGACTGGTGTCTGTAAGAAGAGCAGACTTTGGTATCTTCTGTTGCCATGATGATACAATCTGGGTCAGTAGCAGTAAACTGGCCTTGGTAAAGTTGACTGTGGCCTGAGGAAGTTCATAAATCTGCTCCGTCTTGGGCTGCCTCTTACTGTTCCTGAAATTTTTTGAACAGAAAAATGAATCGCATTTTAGTCGTACAGTGAAAAAGAAGTGAGAGGTCTTAATAACTGATCAACATGATCAAGAAACAATGTTTACCAATACATGGACAGCAGCAGACGCTTGTTGTAGATGGCACCACTGAACTCAGGCACAAGAGATAGGACATGTGACTTTGCTAAATCTTCTGAGAGAGTCTGCAGACCAATGGCAGCTCCAAACAACTACAATGATAAAACACATGTAAAGACTCTACACACTAAATAACATGACTGATGCTTACAATGTTTAAATACATACCTTAAATTGTGTGTGAGAGTGGCAGTTATGGAGAAGGTTAGCAGAGGGAGCAGCCATTTTACTGACAAATTTGATCAGTTTTCTTGGATACATTGGGTTAGTGACTTGAAATTCAAATTTTACAGCTGTCATAGCAACCACTGGTAATATCACAGACGCTGGCTTTGGGAAATTTGATTCTTCCTTTGAAACCTGGTAGAAATTTATCAAGAGAAAGAAAATTTTTTTGATTTAAGTTACAGATTATCTTCAGAAATATTTCATAGACTTTCTCAATATCTTCACAAAAATATACATGTATCTGTTAACTTTTAACTGTTTTATAATTTATTCTTTTGTTGGGTTTTTTTTTACCTTGGAAGGTTTATGAACAGTTTTATAGGATTTCTTTGAAATATCACAGTTTTCATGTTGAGCGTAGTAGACAGAGATGAATGGTTGTATAATGGTGAGGTGTTGTGTTCGGGTGGGTATGACATTCTCCAGGGACAAAACCTGGACATCTGTTGGTGCTGGCCTCTGGTCGTCCACAACCTCTGTTTGAAAACAGGCGGGAAAATACACTATTTAGTTACTAACAAATAATTGAATTCTAAGAATTTTGATAATGAATACTGTATACTTGTTTATGATTTTGCAAGCCTCCCTCCCACCCCCACCCGAAATTCAACCTCACTTTTCTGACAATTTACTCATAACTAACATCAATTCTACTCCTCATCGATTATCTTTCATTTATAATTCACCATTTCTTTTTTGTGGTTGTTTATTTAGGTACTTGTTTTAGAGGCCTATTTGTACAAACCATCTTTTGTTTTAGCGTAAGGTTCATAGCTATGGTTCTGAGCTGCCTGTATGAACCTCTGAACTCTGTGTACAGCTGAGGACGAGATGTTAAACTGACAGCTCCCCACAATGTACCTCATCAACGAGGTCTCCCTGAGAAACACAGGCTCCTCTCCCTCAGATATTGAGGAGGTGCTCCCTACATAAAAAGAAAAAAATTAGAGTAAATTCATGACTGGTAGCTCCAAACAATCTAAATTTCTAGTATAAGATAAAAAATGTTGCCAATTTTTATTGATATATTTTTTTGTCAATGTTAAATGATATAATCAAATGCCACAAGTTTTATGAAAAGCCTTGGAAAATTTACATGCAAAAATTTCACATCTACTTGCTTGTTCAAAATTTCAGGGTGTATTGTCTATATACAGTCATACCTCATTATCTCAAACTTAACTGGACCAAGAAAAACTTTGAGATATTTGATGATTCGAGATATCCAGGTTAAACTACATAAGTGGCTAGGGTTTTTAACTCACTTTGACACATCTATGGTATTCAAGATATCAAAGTTCTAGATAACAAACTTCAACAGTAATTTGTTTAGATAAGCTTCTTGAGGGCCTTTACGATACCCTGACTTTCTTACCAATCATTTGAGACGAGTCCTCGTATGGCTGCATCACATACAGATAATCCACAAAAAACACCCCAAACTTGTCAATGGCAGCCTGTTCAGTGTATGTCTGTAAGTGTTCTGGGCCATCAAAGGTCCAGGACAATACCTGACCTTGGTTGACAGGACAACCAAGGTCAAACAATGACCTGCTGTAGTAATTGACAACCTTGTCAGAGAGACCATCTCCTCCCTTAACAATCATCTTGCTCTATTTCAAAAAGAAAAAAAAATACAATGATTCAAAATCAATTTGATCTCTGGATTTCATTAATAATTAGGTATAATGTCAACATTAATCATCAAGTATAATCAATAAATATAATGTTAACATTAAAAATAGTTGATTCATTCAGTATACATCATCCTTGTTTGTTGAAAAGACTTGTAACTGAATCACTTTACAAAAAAAGTTCTAATACATTACTATCTGGTTTCTGATGTGCACATGCATATCATAAAACTAGAAATATGTCCATAAGACATGAATGCCCCTCTGAGGGTATATCAGTAATGCAACATGAAAATTTGTATTAGTGTATGAAATTTGATGAGAATATCTTGAATAGTTTCTCTTTGAAATCTAAAAAGTTGGATATAGATGATGAATTCTCACCAAATTTGTATAAGTGCATAAACTTACATAAATATATCTTAAATGGTTTCTTTAACATTAAGCAAAATGCAAATTTAAGAAAAGTGAGATCAAGGTCACAGGAAAGTTCAAGGTCAAATGTTTTTAATGCAGTTTAATAGTTCTCACAAATACACATTATCATATTAAGTTTGATAAAAATATTTTGAATGGTTTATTTAAATCTGAGCTAAACACTAATTTTAAATAAAGGAAGTAAAGGTCAAAGGAAAGGTCAAGGTCAAAAAAGTGGATGCAGTTGAAAAGGTTACATCAGTATGTATGAAGTTTGATAAAAAAAATATTATGAATTGTATCCTTAAAACTGAGTTAAACACAAATTGAGAAAAGTGTGGTCAAGTTCAAAGGAAAGGTCAAGGTCAAGAAATATAAAGGCATTGGAATAGCTTACATCAGTATGTATCAACATTTGAAGTTTGACACTAATTTAATAAAAGTGAGGTCAAGGTCAAAGGAAAGGTCAAGGTCAAAAAATATTGATGCAGTTGAATAGCTCTCATAGTATGTATCAACATATGAAGTTTGATTACACTATCTTGAATGGTATCTTTAAATCTGAGCTAAACACTAGTTTAAGAAAGTGAAGTCATGGTCAAAGGAATGGTCAAGGTCAAAAAATATTGATGCAGTTGCATAGCTCTCATCAATATCTATCAGCATATGAAGTTTGATAAAAATATCTTGGATAGTTTCTTTGAAACTGAGCTTTGAATAGAGTTAAATGCAAAGCACAATGGAAAGACAGACAAAAGGATGGAAGGACGGAAGACGGACATGACGAACACTATATGCCCCGGCCATATTCATGGCGGGGCATAAAAACAAGATCCTCACCCTTTGATCCTCCGCATCATCTGTCCCACAGATACAGTTCCCCCTGGTCTCCAGACTTATGTTGCTGATTCCAAACTGGACATTGAAGAAGGTCAGGCCCTTCATCACAATGTCCACACCTATTCCTTCAGCCTCCATGTACATAAAAGGTCTGAAGGCAATCTTCTGAGGACCATAATGTACTTTTTCTCTCATCTTTTCTGTCAGCTAAAAAGCATAGAAGTATCACCAGTAAGTAATACCCTTTAATGGGATCCTTTACTTAGAAACAAGAGTGTGCCTAATTCTTGTAGAATTAAAATCTTTAAATCTTTTCAAAGAACCCTATCTAATTTTTATAACAATGATAAACTTTTTTGTAGTTTTTTAATAATTTAAAATTCATTTGATACCTTAAAGGTCAGTGAGGCTTTGTGAGCATACATTCCTACGGCCAACACAGCTGGGGGTGGTTTCTTTTTCGGGGACCTTTCTTCAGCTTGTAACTCCTCCTCCCCAGTGGGGAGGATCTGGGGGACATAGGACCAAGCCCAGGAGGACCAGCTCTGTTGATTTTCTGGATCCTCCACCCTTTGATTCTCATCATCTGAAATGTTAGATACCTAGATAAGGCCATCATTTAAACTTCTTTTTTTTTGTTACATGTACTTTAACCCATATTTTTCAAGGTTGGTAGGTAGGTAGTTTTTTTTTGTTTTTAGTTATTTAACACATGAACATTCATCATTAAAATCACAGATTTAGAAATTTATTGATGTTTTCATTTCAATGCATACAAGGGACAGATTTAACAATTATATCTCTAAAAAGTGCCTTTGAGAAATGATAAACCTTAATTTTAAAAACGATACAGACAAAATGTATTTCCCTAACCCCCCCCCCCCCCCCCCCCCCCAAAAAAAAAAAAATAAATAAATAAATAAAATAAACAAATAAATAAATAATTAAAATAAAAATGAAATAAAATTTTAAAGTACTGAAAAAAAGATCTGGTAGCCACGGTGATTTTGATTGATCAGTCAGAGTACATCAAACAAATCATTTTATTCTTTCATGCGATTATATCCTTAGAATTAAGACTGTACCTAATTCCATTAACTTTTCCTTGAAGATTTACAAAGTAATTAACAAATTACAAATACTGATTAAGTAATGGTCTTCACCTTCCACTTTCTTGTCATCACTCCCTTCTGTGCTCTTCACACTCGACTCCTGTTCATTCACCGAGCTCGGAAACTCAAGTGTGCCATAGTACAATGCTAAACAAAGTTCAATCAAGCGGAAAAACAACGGCAGCTGAGTGTCAGTCAGAGAAACATCCAAAGTCTCACAAAACAAGTCAAACTTTGTGATGCTAGGGAACTTAGCATTGATTGAGTCATACTTCAGGTAGACTCTGCCAGTGACAGAGCACCTGTACACCATAGGGTCCTGATAATTCTCTATCTTCCCACTGCTGTCACACTTATCTAGACATATTGTTAAGTCTGAGAGATTGATAGACTTTCTAAGAGCAAGCTCTGGTGGACACAGATCAATGAAGGCTCGACTCCACAACTCATTCACACTGAAACACTCTAGTGACTTCACATTAATGGACAATACTATATCATCCTCCACAAATTTCACAATTAAATTGTTAATGACTATACTGACATTGTTGGAGATTTTATTCATAAGACTTTGTAGGTAGCCCGGAGGAAGGTCTTCTCCAGCTTGCTGTCGTCTCTGCTTTTGTTTTGCCTGGAATGATCGTGATTTCTTTAATTCTGGTGTTTGAGAACTAGCTGTGTCATTATATGCAGATTCCCTAAGTTTCAGGATGCATTCTATTGTATTAATTGTTATAACAATTGGCTCAGATCCTAGTTTTGTCCAGGGTACATGTATTCTCAGCTCATGAATGTGGCCACTTTTAAAGATGATAGGAAGCTGAATGGCCTTCTCAATGACATCCAATCTCAGGTCAAGGTTATTCAGGACTGCATCACCTCCCCACAGTGAGAGCTGAAAATCTTCATGTCGTAGCTTTACATACTTATCTACATAACCCATCAAAAGGGGGGTGATGTAGGACTCTATCTTAAACATTTTGATTAAATTTGGTCTACTTTACTGTCCCTGAAATGTAAATGTGAAAACTGCTAAATTATTTGGTGGGTGCGTCTTTTTACCACAAGGAACCACAAGGTACCACAAAGAACCACAAGGATACCACAAGGAACCACAAGGAACCCCAGGGATATCACAAGGTACCCCAGGGACACCATATACAACCTTAATTATTCTAAATATGGTTTATATGCACTTGTAAATTAGAAAAAAATGTTTTTGAAAGGCAAATTAACACTTTAATTATCTTAAATATGGAGCAGTTATCCAAGTTAAAAATTTAAAAGTAAATATACTTATTTAAGCTAAATTATGCATTTATAGTTCAGAGGAACAGTTAAACTATTGTATCTTTTTATGATGTACAAAAAGTTAATGGTTAATTGTGTATTGCAGTAGTCAATACACAAACCAAAAGTTGATATCCAAGAAGAACCCTAATGATAACCCCTGTACCACTAGGATAAGCCAAGGTACCTGAAAGAAAATCCAAATGACACTCAATTCAACTTTTAAAAAATCTTTTCATGGTTTAAATGCACTTGTTAATTATGAATTATAACTGTTTATTGTATATTTGTATAATAGAAAACATAAAGAATAAAAGAACCCCAAGGGACATTTAGGATCATGAAATCCCAACAAACAAACCCAAAGAACCACTTAGATTAATAAATGACATTCCATTCAACCTTAATAAATCTAAATATGATTTATGTTCATTTGTTAATTACAAAGTAAACAGTTTATTGTAAATATAATTTTTCAGGTCACCTGAGTCATTCAGGTGACCTACCAATTGTGATTTGTTTATGTTTGTTGTTCATTGGTCATAAAATGTTGAAATTTTCAGCTTCTTTTGAACCACTGAACCAATTTTAACCAGTTTTATGGGTAAAGTTAACCAGTTTTTGTAGGTAAAGGGAAACATGAATTTTGAATTTCATGGTCCTTGACCCCTCTCCCCTTCTGGGCTTGAAGGATGGGACTAAAACCATCAAAATATATGCAATTGTTAAAATCTTCTTCTTTACTCTTGGAAATCCAATAGTCAAACTGTTGACAGGAATGTAATTTAATTGAGCTCTCTATCAATTGTAAAATTTGTGGCCCAGAGGTCAGGTTTTAGGGTAATCTGGTGAAAAAGCATTATTTCTTTCAAAATATTCTTTACTCTAGAATATTAAATTAGGCAAACATATTACCAGTAAATGCATGGTGTGATGCATATATGAGCAAGGGTGCCTCTTACAAAATTGTGAAACTTTATGGCCTGTGGATAAGCTAAGGGTTCTGGTGTAGGGTGAGGATCTATTGGTAAGATAGTGAAAAAGCATCATTTTTTTTTGAAAATCTTCTTTTGAAAGTGCTTACAGTTGTGTTGAGAAAATGCATACGGTGCCATTTTCAAATTACTTCTTTTAAACCCCTTCTGCCACTGGTATTTAACACATAAAATAAATTATTTATGTCAGAAGTGCAACTATAGATGATTTGGGGAAAAAAAACTTGCATCCTCATTCAAGTCTAGAAAGTATGAAAAACTACCCATAAATGGTTTACAATTTCCAAACAATGAAGTGCCTTTAATTACAAAATAAAAAAAAAAAAATGAGTGTGTTATAAATTTAAGATGATGTTTTTTTTTGTAAACATATCTGAGAAGTCAGGAGCTAGTGCAACAAAATGAGTTGAATAGAATCACTTCCAAATCTTGTATTTAAAAAAAATAACACTTTCAAAATTCTTTTTTTGCCTTATTTAGTTTTCAGAATTGCCTTATATAAATTGATAGTAAGTAATTTGTTGGGATTTAATTTTAACACGTCATTTATTAAACTTTCCACATGAGTTAAATTTATGGTCTGACTGTCTGTATATGATCAAATTTTTGGTGGAGATTTGTCTTTTTAAATAAAAATAGTTCTAATTTTTCAAATAAAATTCTGTTAACACTGGTTAATAAAAATTAATTCTGAAACTTTTCTATGGATTTGTGTATTCTATTGGTATACTTAAAAAGTATTCAACTGGAATGTATATATACATATTATGATCTTATAATTGGAAAAACATGTTAAAACAAACTGAATATTCTCCAAAATTTCAATTTTTGAATTCATGCACCTTATATATCCAAATGTAAGTAAACAACAATAATTTCAGTTAATTTACTAAAACTACACTGCTTTTGAAAAAATTTCCTGGGTAAAAATTGCAGGAAATAAACTAGAAAAACTAAATATATATATATAAACACAAAAACTTTTCTCAACAAAACATTTTCGTTCATTGTTTTCATAGCATTTATTCCTTAATACAATATAAAAACAATCATGTACATGTAAATAGGAAGTCCAAGGTTGTGAGTTAAATTTCTTTGTTATGGAAATGCATGAATTCAAACTTATTAATTTCTCTATATTAGATTGATACATTTATTAAAAAATAAATCATCATGCATTCATGGCATTGTATGAATGTCTATAGATTGTACAGAATATGATCATCTCAATTAAGAGAAGTTATGGAATATAGAAATGATAGCATGCATCTATTTTCAATGACATATAGAGAACTCTCTTGTGTACAGAATTTCTTGTTAGCATGCATGCATATATATATCCACAATTTCTGGTAATCATCAGTGATGATCAACAGTTTTCAGTGATTAACTTGTGTATACACAAGGTACACAAGGACTGGTTACACCATACCTTAATAGGTGTATAAACAAATGTAAAACTGCATGGTTGGTGATAAAATACCTGGGTTTTATATAATCAACAAACTTAATAAGTTTTTCTTGTACCATTTACATAGGGTATAAGTGTCACTATATATATTTAGCTGGAAATTGTTAAATAAAATAATATGTTTTACAAAAATACCTGAAGCTGACAAATTTTTTCCAAACTTGAGTCTTGTTTCTACTACCCTGGTACTTTCAACTTTTCTACAGATCTACAGTCTGCTAAAGATGGGCAATAATTTTGAAAATTGTTTATAAAAAATAAAATTAATGTATAACCCATTCTTTCCTGCATCAGTGAATCATATATGGTGCCTGCAGCCATTGGTAAAATTAACAATATCAATTAAAGTTGGCCAAGGGTTATCACGATATTAAACTTAATTGATGAGAAACTGATTTCCTAAAAAAAATTCTGTAAACCCATTTTGAGGTAATTAAAAACATTTTTTTAAAAAATACCAAACTTTATATGGTTTGCTGGTATGCAAAATTTTTTAAAATAATTTTTTATTAAAAATCCATGTGATTTTGTAAAAAAGAAAAAAAAAGTGAATGTGGATTCACTTCTTTGTGGCATAAAAAAGTTCACTAACTCCTTAAAATGGCTCTGTCCCTATACCAATTAACTGACAAAGTCCCAAGATTCCATTTTAAACCTCAATATAAAGAAGAGACATATTGCTTTCATTTCCCATAAAAAAGTTTCCTTTGAGGGTTCAGGTATTGCAAAATAGGCTTTGTGAAATTACAATATTCCTGAATTTTGAAGAAAATGGATGAATTTGAGCATCTTCAGTTAATAATTAAAATATGAGCCCACCCCACGATCCAAAAAAAAAATTTCATGGATAAGAATCTTCTGAAACAGTTCTTTCATTATATAATTAAACAATTTATATCAGAGGTTGGGGACTATGCAAAATATTGAAAAACAGCTTAAATTTTTTACCATTTTTAAAGAGTTTTTTCAGGATTTGAGGAAAATGAGGCAACTCATGACTTTATAATTATTAATACATGGACTAGAGAGAAAATTATGTCATTTTTAATTGGTATGCAGTCACAGAGGTTCCGAGTGAAATTTTAACATATTTTCAATGAAGACTGAGCAGATTTGATTCTTCAGAAATTCACAAGGCCAAAAAAGGTCCTATTAGTAAGTAAACTTTGTTCTCTAATAAATATAGATCTACAAAACTATAACCATGCAGTTACTACCAGGTATAATAGATTGAGACAAGTAGCCAAGCTATTTACTATCCTATAGGAGATAATTTATTAATACAATATGTGTGAATTATAATTATTAAACTTGCATGAGAATGAATTATGATTTTTTTTCTTTAAGTCATATATGCCGTATTTTTGATAAGTTCAGACTAACTAAAATTAAAAAGATCTTTCTACCGGGGTATTTGTTTTAATTACTTTATACTGTATAAGGATAGGACTTTCCTGTAAATTACACAATTTAAATCAATTGCATTTCATAGATATTAGAAATTTAAGGGTAAAACAATAATCGATTTATTTACTGACTCCGCATTTAAATATCAGACACAGTTTAAAGTCATTTTAACTATAGAAACGTGGGGTTATTCAAGTTCAGAATCAGTGAAAATTTTAATTTGAATGTAAATAACAAATATCATGTTCAACTACACTCTATCTCGTATTTTTATTTTTTACCTCAGATATGCCATATATAGCTTTAAGTATTAATGTATTTATATTTAGAATTCAAACATTACAGGTGCCAAAATATTAGTTTTAAGATATATGCATTATAAATAACACAATCAAATGTAGCAAAACTGGCATGTACTTGAGAAATATCAAAATATAAGTATTAAATCAAAGATTACACAGGTCATCTCTAGAGGTCAATTGTTACCTTTATAAGTAAGACAAAGTCTCACCTTTATAAATATTGGGGTAGTAATTAGTGCAAGATTTAAACATGTTTGGTTTTTGTAGGATGTTTTAAAGGTTGTACTATATGTAATATATAGGAATGGGCTTGCTCCAAATCTTTATCTGTTCAATGATTGGTCACCATAGGGCTTACAGTTACTTCAGCTAGAATGAAACCTGCACCAAAAAAAAAATCTCTGGTCACTCAACCAAAAAATATACCGGTAGGTCAGATCCAGCATCTGAAGCAAGTGTGGTAGTGTATACATCCTGAGATGCATCATCCATGCAAGTTAAGTCACCATAAGGCTTCTAGGGTTGGGCAATAATACCTATATT